AAAATGGCCGACTTCGTCGACGAAAAGGTAATTAAATTTTCGAAAGATTCTTCGACTCCGGTTAAAACTTTCCACATGTGTTGATCGTCACGATTTGATTATTCTTTATTGTTTATGCACCCCTCGAGTCGTTCAATTGCTTATAATTTAAATTTTGTACTTTGTAGCTCGCATAATTACAGTCTTTCTAGAGATAGTAAATATGAAACATTTTTAAGCTCGTTTAAGATCAATTGTTTTACTCTTTTTAGAGGACGTAAACGAAATTTTTTATGGTCTTTCGATCTAGGATTCATCAAGAAGCAAACCAAGCAAACTATTACATTTAGGTGCAATTTACGCGTGATAGGAAATGACTTCTACATAAAAGTCAACCGCTTAATGAACTCGTGCGAGCAGGTTTTAAAACCACTTTTTACTAGGAAACCATCAGTTTCTATAACAATTTCCGTTTAAGCTCTTTTTAAACGAAACGGCGTGCTCGTAATTGTGTCCCTAAATTACCATGTACATTATTTTTGACTGAATTTTTCGCGAACAACGTACAAAAAGTTCGAGTATAAATATTAATTTTCCTATTTGTTCAAACTCTTGATATATTATCGTTTGTCGACAAGCATTTTAGTTTCACGCGATAATCCTTTTATAGACGGAAGAAAACTTGGTAAAAAAAATCCATTAATCCGCCAACAGCTACGGGGCTACTGCCGAAAATAATGTTCGTTTATCGTGATGTAATAGTTCGTACGTGGCGAAATTTATCGTGACTGGGTTTCGTGTTCGCGAACTGTTATTCAACCAAACAGAATTTTGCGTGCTTTGCAGTTTTCTTTTGCATTGCTATTTGCAGAAGATAACATTATTAGAAGCTCTGCAATAGAGTACAAGTTCAAAAAATTAAAACATAACAAATTTATTCGAACAATGCATGTATAAAAGAAATTTCAATTGATTTTGGTTAGATTTTAATAGAAACTACTGTCACAGACGTAAGAAGGAAATTCTGCATTTGAATAGAAAGTTTAAATATAGTTGAAAATGTTTCACAATTTTTCTTTCAAACGAATAATCATATTCTATCTGTGGCAATTATAATTTTTCAAACAGGTTCGACAGATAATTTATTCGGATACTTGCGACATTATCGACCACTCGCGAAAATGTCAGCAAACGTATAAAAGCCACTTTAATTTGACCTTTATTTCGTTGGGCATTCGATCAGAATATTCGGTCGGTGAAGTCGTTGAAAGATTCAAAGAGCGTGTAATCCAGTTCTCAATGAAAATTAAATGTCTACAGTGTCTAACCACTCAATAACAGCGACTCGATTATTATTAGACCGAGAATAATTGCAATCATTTGCAGAAAAGAATTTAACGAACAGCTGCACCTGAGTAGTCGATAAAACGGATCTTTTTGCGTGACAAAGTTTAAAAATACATTTTTTAATTATTATCGCTACTAAAAGTGACTTTAAAATGTCATAAATGGGAGGCTATTTTCAAGAAGGAATTTACAATTAAATATCGTGACCTTAATTTATAAGTTGATAATTATAATGAATTTGATAGCCTTCAGTATTTTATAACTTTGAAATTACTTGTAATTGCCATTAAAATCGCAATTACCGTAAAGTTCTTATAAAGTTCGATGTTCCTTGTAAGCTCCATTGGTGGACTTTTACTCAAAGAACCTGATCTTCTCAAGTAGTTACATTTTAAATTCAGAAGACGATGGATCTTTTCTTACAATTAGAATTTCTTATGCAGCGTAAATAGTAATTTTATATGAAGAAAATGGCTGCCGCGTCTGTCCATTACTCGCTGTTTCTACTTATTCCGACGTCCAAGACGTACTCTATCGCACCAGTGGGCGATTAATTTTTAAAGCCGATTTTCTCCAACATTTTCGATTTATTTTTTCCACGTAGAATCCACCCCAATGGTGCCACGATTACTGAGATACCCTGTACTTCGTTGAAAAGAAGATGGTGAAAGAAATAATGGAAATTTTCTACTTAAAGTAGTTCGAGCCTCGTTTAATAAAGCGAGAATTCTACATGAATTGTAAATTCTCCAACATAATCGGGAAAATTACCCGATAAGATATCACGAGCGTTTTTTAAATATCCAATTACTGTTTCTATTCGACGCAAAGAAAATCTCGAACGACGAATCCACCGATTCGAGATCCAACGTCTTCTGAATTTGAAATGCAACTATTTGAGCAGATCAGCTTCTACAAATAAAAGTCCACCGACGAAATTTACAAGGAATATTAAACTTCGTAAGATCTTTATTGGTAATATAATTTGAATAACAATTGCGAGGCATTTTGAAGTTATAAGAATCTTTATAACTTCATACGATGAAGACTTAAATCTCTACGTAGAATTCGCCATGAAGAAGTCCGAAGAATAAATTTTGATTTACCAGCGATATTTTCTCTTAAAAATTTATAAATTGCATAACATTGAAACAACTTAATTTAGTTCGAATTTAATGGATTTGATGATACGTGTTAAATTATTAAATAATTTTTAGAAGTATCTTTCCAGAGTTAATAAGCAGTGATCTTTAAATGCTTCACTGTCTCCAAAATGGATCCTCAAGTTAGGGGGGACAAAAACGATCAATTTACGAATCATTACTATAAATAGGAATCAGATACACCGAATCGTTTTCGATTATTTTCGAGACGATTGTTAACATTTACCGCGAGAAAATGTGTCCAAAGTCGAATCGATCAACTCGACATTTACTCGGTGCACAGTTTTTCTAACCTCGAAACTTTCACGCGGCCATTATCAGCTGCGCGAGTTTCACGCAGAACGTCGAGAAGCAACATTGTTTGCAGCACAATATTAACAAATGCAGTTTGCCGTTCTCCGATATAATGCGAAAGTTTCGTCATAACGCGACGTTGAATATTTCTAGAATGCCGGCGAGAACCAGCGTCGCGTAAATACGACGCGGTGAAAAGCGAGTGAACTTTTAAGGGGAAGTTTTTGCATTAGCGAAAGATTCACGGGTAATGTTTGCCGTGACACCTGCCATGACAATTCAGGACCCCGAAAAACTCGAAATTCCATAGCAATCTGAGTGTGCACGTTCCTTTATCCATACTCGCTTAAATATAAAATAATATATGCTTAATTTTCGTTGCATACGTTATATTATAATATCTCAATGGGGGTAGTTAGCTTCTTAACATATAAAAAATAATTCTTTAATTTCAATTCCTTAAATAAACGTTTGGGAATTAATAATTTATAAACGAAGAGGATACATCTCGAAGAGGATGCTTCTTGAAAGACCGTTCTTCATCCCTGTTCTAGTCTATTGTGCCCATACGCCACGCGTGAAATATGGCACACTGATATTTCATCGAACAAAATTTGAACTCTGCAATGAAATACTGCCCTATTCTATCTTTGAGTACAATTTCTTTCCCTTCCACTGGGCAAATTTTATTTCAAATGGAAATAAGAAGTAACTATTATAAATAACGTTTCGATCTTTTATTTCTCGTGGCATTGTTTAGAAATATCGATTCAATGGAAATAAGAGGTATTTCAAACGATCGTTGAAACGAGTACTTCAAATAAATATCAAAGCAACAAAATTTATTCGCTAGAAAAAATACGGAGTTATTGAATTTTAAACGAAGCATAAAATATCGCGGTTTTATTTTCAGCCAGGTGATATACTAAATAAATTTATTTTTAAATAAACCATTTGATCTTTTAAATACGTATGATGGACGAAGGATATGTAAAATGTCAGTAAAATATACTTCATAATCTCTTTGAATCAATATCATTCATCATTTTAACAGCACAAAGGGATGTGTAATTTCATCCACTGGAAAATTTCTGAATATTCCGTTATTGGAACGTTTCATTATTGCAAATATAGATTTATTATTTTCAAAATTATTTCATAACATCGGATAGCTATTACATTTCAAACTATTAATATAATTATTGTTTTAAACGATTTATATTTTATATAAAAAAACCGGATAAAATTTGATATCAAATTCTGGTTAGCTTCCGATGTAAATGAAAATATATAGCGAAAATGAAAGAAGAGAATCTTCAGTTTCTATTACCTTGGAACAGCCTAACAACGCATATTAAAAGTAGTACAATTTTAGACGCGTGCAGTTCCGAAACTACTAGTGTTTTTTTCATAATTGAGCCACTGCTAGAAGCAGCAAGGCCTCACCTTTAAAGTGGCTTTTGGTTTTTGGCGATCTGACTTTCCGTTTTCGAGATATCGTAATTTATATAAAAGGGTATTTTTTTTAATTTGACTATCTTTGTCTCTGTCTAACGCGTCGCGACGGACTTCTTTCTCGCGCGTGCATCGTGCTGATTTATTACACTATTTACTACGATCACGTGAGGGGTCAATGACCTCGCGTGGGCGCGCAACAATGAAACGTAAACAAAGCTTCGGGCCCTTATTATCTCCGAAACTAGCCACCGCATCGACTTGAAACTAAAATCGCTATATCTCCGGAATCAATTACGCTATCGACTTCAATGAACGCTCATTTTAAAGAGAATTTCATCCCCTATCCAATGAATATATTAACTACTATAATTTATGGTTTCTTCTATGCTTATTTTGCAATTTACATCGACTCTATGCTTTAAGCAAAAATATTCGACATAAAAGAGAAAGGTATCCGATGAATAAACTTCAAAATACAACTTTCTACACATATAATGCAAAAATGATAAAAACTGTTTTAAATTAATTCGTTGTTTTTTCTCTAAGATCTATGATGACCTCTAACTTTGTACAATGTAAATATGTACTAAATAAATAAATTCCCAGGTCTGACAATCAAATACAGAACTGATTAATTTGCAATGGAAACTAAAATTGTTTCCAGATATCTAATAATTATTTACTCCATTTAGTTCGAAGCGAACAACCCCGAACATTTCTCCCAATTCATCAAAACAAATAAAACAACTAACAACTTACCTGGTGCACTCCGATCCCTCTTCTTCCGCCTCAGCCTCTTCTTCTGTACTTTCTCCACGTAGTTCGAGGAAGAAGAATCGTCGCAGCCAGGAACTCCCTCCCCCTCCTGAATCTTCCTCGCCTCTTCCTGTCGTTTCTTCAGCAGCTCGTAAACCCGTTTAAAATAATCCTTGGCGATGTCCTCGTTCGATTTGTTCGTCAACAAACCATCCCCGTTCGAGCACCCGAAACTATCAACCAATCCCTCGTCGAACTCTCCTTTCGGCTCGATTTGATCCTCCTCTTCAGGATCTTCGCTGCCATCCACGATCTTAAACGTGTTACTCTTCTTCACGTTCGATCGCGTGTACAGGTCTCGATAGTCCTTGAACGCTTTCTTGGGGATCGTGTTGTAGCCACAGTCGGGGGACATCGCGTTAACCGCCTCGAATCCTCGATTCCTTGCCAGATTCTCGACGAGCGTCTGTTTCTTGGGATTCCCGGGGCCTCGATCGACGACCAAATAATTCTCCTGCAGGCTGGTGCTCGGCCTGTCGCTCGACGAGTCGTTCAACGTCGCCGTGGCCTCCCTCCTCGGTCGATCCTCCGGGATTCCGCGCTCCTGCAACGGATTTACGCAATTCAGCAAGTTCTGACAGACTCTGCAGTTTCTGAAGGGGCACAGATCCGCCTGGAGATCCTTCCACCTCGGCTTGCTCATGAAGTCTTCCTCGTTCGCGTCCCTCTCGGACTCGCGATGCATCCTCTCGTGCCTCTTCCTCTCCTTGTACTCGCGCCAGGACTCGTCGACGTTGTCCTGGCTCCTGATGCGTCTCGGTGGATTCGCGAAATCCTGCTCGGAGTCGACGCCGCCTCCTATCTGGCCCAACAAAACGTCGCTCTTCGTTTTTCGATAAAGTTTCCGTTTCTCGGATTCCCTTGTTTGGGATTTCTGTCTCGACGCCTCGAGAATGGCATCGCTCCTCGACCGATAAACTTTGCCCTTCGACGAATCCTCCGAGCGTGTCCTCCCGTTCCTCGATCTCTCCCTCTGTCTGTCCTTCTGCACGGCCTCCGGATCGAATCTGATGACGTTGGTCTCGCTGCGCACCTTTCGCGTCCGATAGCCCCCCGGACGCTCGTTTCGCCCGTAATCCGAGTATCTCTTCTCGATACCGCGTCCGAGCTCGTCGCAGCGACTCGAGCTGGCCGATCGCTGGTGCTCCTCCATCTTCTGCTGAAGCTTCCTCCGCAGGAACGCCCTCACCCTCTCCAGTTCCTCGTTTCCGATTCTGTTCTCCCCCCGTTGGAAAACCGAGCCGTCCGTTCTCGACGGCTCCTCTTTCGAATCGATCCACGGAACGTCGTTGGACACCTCGAGCCTCGGCTCCTCCTCCCCGATCGTCTCCCTCAGTTCCTTTAAGCCGTCTTTAATTCTTTGACTCGGAACCTCGTCCCCGTTAATCTTCGACTCGGTCACCCGATTCTCCTCCTCGGGCTCGATCGATAGAGTCTCGCTCTGGCTCCTCAGGTAAGCCTTCATCTTCTTGCACCTCTCTTTCGCGATCTCCTCCGGGCACTTGCCTAGAGTGCTCTTCGTCCTGAGGTCGTCTATGATCTGCTGGCGAAGATAGTCCCCCACGGAGTATCTCTTCGACGACGTCTTGGGCTGCTCGTTCCGCTGGACGGTGGCTTCCGGTTCCCCGGACCGCCTGTTCCTCGATTTTTTTTCTTTTTCCTTCACGGTCACCTCGCTCTTGGATTTTCGAGGTCTGTAACCGAACTCGTAGCCCCCGAACTTCGTGCTGAACCCATCGATGTTTCGATTCCCTTGTATCGGAGCGGGAATCGAGGAAGAGGAAGAGGAGAGGGACGACGACGCGGTGGTCGTCTTCTCGGAGGCTGGTTTGCTCGTAGGGAATTGCTCGTAGGTCTTGAGACCCTCGCGAAACGAGCCCCTCGCCCTCTGCGCCGTTTTACCGGTCGTCTCGACCAACAGACGGCCATCTTTGCCCAACAGTTGTATAACAGGAAGCGTGTCCGCGGTCGTAGTCAGCTCCCACTCCCAGTGCAACGGCTTGTCCAGCTTCAACCTGATGCACGGTTCCGTAGGCTCGTTGGGAGACGAGGAATCCGGATTTACTGGACTGGACGTCGCCGCCGTTATGAGCGGGTGAGAGTTCTTCATGGCTTCCGGTTTTTGCGCTCCACGCGATAACGGTTTTCGTTCCAACGACAGATGCTGGCTTTTAAAAGCTCGTCGACGATTTTTACCGTACACTTTCAGAATTTATACTTTTCCTTCGTACTTGATATAATGTCGCTTTTTCCGAATAGGGTTGATAGAATTTTTAAAATTGGGCACGTTTCCATAGGGAAATTATCGTTTATTCGATGAGTTAATATTTGGTTTGTAAAGTGTATATTCGAGAGAATGTGATAAGTTTGAAGAGGATACTGTTAACAGTGTTTGAGAAGATAATTCACGTAACAACATCCCTTCGTAGCATTTTGATGTAGAATTTTCAATATTTTTGTTCGGTTGCAGTCTCAAATATGTTTATAGCAAACTCGATGATTCTGTTTAATGGTGTTTAGAAAATTGTGATCACTAGTTGTGCTTGTCTTGTGTTCGTCAAGTTCATATTTTTTTTTAATAAATTAATATATCTTCAGGTATAAAAATACACTCTTGAAGTATGTGCAAACGAATGTACAAAGTTTGAAGAAGCTATTATCAACAGTGTCTGAGAAAATAATTCACAAAGTGTCTCTTTTCAATATTTTAAGCTAGAAATAATTTTCAATATTCTTGCTTAGTTGCAGTCTCAAACATGTTCATATCAAACTCTATGCAAAGTCGATCCTTTAATGGGCTTTAAAAAATTGTGATCACTAGTTGAGCTTGTCTTGTATTAGTCAAGTTCATGTACTTTTTTAAATAAATTAATATATCTTCATGAACATACATACATACGTATTTTTGTGAAGTATGTGCAAAGTTTGAAGAATCTATTATGAAGAGTGTTCGATAAAAAAATTCCCGAAAGCACTTTTCAGCATTTTAAATTAGAAGGTCCATTACGATGTCTACGCGGTGTCCACATCGTGGTTTTTGGTGTCCAAGCTATACCAAGTTGCTTAGTTTCGAGGCGTTCGAATTGCGGTTTAACCCGGTCGTGTCCGTGTTGCGAGTCGATTTGTGCTCGGTTGTTCGTTTTAATCAGACTTTAAACTATTCTCGTAGTTTGTCCCGACGATTTTAAGTATTTTCATTTATAGATTATCCATTCAAAATGAAACCACACGCGATCGGAGTTATATAAAATTCTTACAGTTCCGTGGGCATCGAAGCCACTCCACTGCCCCGTTTAAACGTCCACGTTCGTGAGCATATTTAATGGCAATTATAGTATTTCCATAACATAAAAGGAGAAAATCAATATTGAAATATTTCCATCAACATCTCGCGTGTCAATATTTACATTCACTTTGATACACAAACACTCGCGTGCATTCGAAAATATTTCCCAACGGAACGAAAATATTTTGATCGTTCGAACAGGCCGGCTAGTTTTATCGTTGAATCTTCGCGATTGTTACGAGCACACCAGCGAATTTAAACCGCGTTTCGCTGTTCTGAAATAGTCACGATACGACATTTAAGTATCCACTGGACGATACGCGGTCGGTTCCATTGAGTTGGACGTCAAACATGCTCGACGGTTTAAAAATATTTTCAAACAATGTACAAATATGTTGGCCAGAGCGACGGTTCGCATAGTCACGGTTCGTGGTTGTTGTTTGCTTTTCCCTTCGCTATCGTTGATCAATTGCGCACTGCATTCAAAGTGGCATTATCGACCGCCATTGTTCCACGTTTCGCGGTTCAATTTGCGAGATGTTCCCACCCCGCCACCCGCGACGCGTTTCACACGATATCCACTGTACGAAATAAGCGATCGAGAATCATACTTCGACGGAATCGCATGAATATTAAATCGCTTATGCAACGTGACCTCAGACGTTTGGCAGCTTGTCAGAATCGAGGAAGTTTGACTTTGGAAGGCTCCCGAAACGGCACCCTACCATTTCTTCGTTCCGTTTGGCTATGTTTGCGATCGTTGTTCTCCCCTACCGCGATACTAGTGTAATAAACATCGATAGGTGTTTCTTTCCGTTCGAGGGCGAGGGATATAACTCTTGTCAAACATTTGCTATCGTTTCCTGACTCAAAGTTATGTAATTTGTAATAGTTATGATAATGATTGCAACATTTCTTACTAGGTGATATATTTAAAAGATTTAATTCAAAATAAATTGTGTTTAATATTATTCGAAATAAAATTTTAATTGTCGAAGGTGATTCTCAAAACTGACGTTTGTTTCAAAGATTTCACTTTTGGTACTTTTATAACAATAACTTTCGTTAAAATTGTGCAACTTGTAATAGCTTCAGAAATGAATGCAACATTTCATACTAGGTATAATATTTAAAAGATTTAATTCTAAATAAATTGCGTTTAATATTATTCAAAATAAATTTTTAATTGTCGAAACTAAATCTAAAAACTGACGTTTGTTTCGAAGATTTGACGTTTGGTACTTTCATAATAATAACTTTCGTTAAAATTGTTAAACTTGTAGTAGCTTCCACAATGATTGCAACATTTCATATTTGGTGTTATATTTAAAAGATTCAATTCTAAATAAATTGCGTTTAATATTATTCAAAATAAATTTTTAATTGTCGAAAGTGATTCTGAAAACTGACGTTTGTTTCGAAGATTTCACGTTTTATAACAGTGACTTTCGTTAAAATTGTGCAACTTGTAATAGCTTCCACAATACTTGCAACGCTTCTTATTTGGTGTTATATATAAAATATTTAATTCTAAGTAAATTGTGTTTAATATTATTCGAAATAAAATTTTAATTGTCGAAGGTGATTCTCAAAACTGACGTTTGTTTCAAAGATTTCACTTTTGGTACTTTTATAACAATAACTTTCGTTAAAATTGTGCAACTTGTAATAGCTTCCGCAATGATTGCAACATTTCTTACCAGGTGTTATATTTAAAAGTTTTAATTCAAAGCAAATTGTGTTTAATATTATTCAAAATAAATTTTTAATTATCGAAAGTGAATCTCAAAACAGACGTCTGTTTTGAAGATTTCACGTTTGATACTTTTATAAAAGTGAGTGATCCTGAGGGAATGGAAGTAAATTAAAATAGTTACGGTTGCACACGCGATCAGAGTTCAACTGTACCGCGAAATTTATATTTCTTTCGCCCAGCACGTCGTGAAGAAGACACGAAAACGCGGCTCGTTCGGCCACCGAGCGCAGTGATTCGCAGTATGCCAAAATAAATTCCTGGCAAGAATGCCGTAACGTTCACTGCCTGTTTTATAACCGTATTGGCGTAGCGAGAAATGGCGGGCTGTCTGCACGAACGCCCAACTACGCGTGTTTACGAATGCTATTCGACGACCAGCTTTCCTTCCTTCGTAAATATTTTATTTATTTGAATAGTAACTTCGAATTTTGGTCCAAATAGTTATTTTTTATCTAGAGAATCTACACACAGAATGTTACTCTGGTTATCGATCGTGAGAGCTGAGATCATCCTCCATCGAACATTCCATATTCTTGGAAACATGAACACCACAATCAAAAATTTACAACACTCAGTGTCGATTACTGATCTTACAATAATTTCTAAAAATCATTCTACGTTCCTCGAACCTGATACACAAAAGTACACCTGTTGCGAATCGTCATTTTTCACGGAACTCTCGCAAGATCCTCGATTTCACTGTGCAAGCTGCTCGTCGACTCGTTCCCAGAAGCTAATATCCGAACGAGTTCGTTGGAATCGCCAACTATCGCGAGGGGGAGCAAGATCAACAAACGATAAGGATAAACAAAACGACGAACGCTCGTTCCCTTGGTAATCGTATGTAAATCGCGGGGGAACTCGGTAGGTGTCCCGCTTTCGAACTGGCCGTCTCGCGACCGACTGGTACATACACATCTCAAAATATCTCGGAAGGCATAGCTCAGCCGGCCCCGTAGAAACGAAAAAACTCGCCAGCGTGCGCGGCGACCGGTCGATTACCGATTCTGGACAAACGAGCTCGTTCGAGGCGAACGTCACGTTCGGAGGATGGACGTCGAAAGAGCGGTGCAGAGCGAGGGAATCGTCGCGATTCGGTCCGTTGATCGAACGAACGACCCTCCGGAATCCGGCTACGTAAACACGGCTCGCGACACGTTCCGCGAACGGATCGTTCGATCGATCGATCTATCGTTATCGGTTCGCGACATCGTCGATCGTTGTGACTCGCGTACGGGGCCAGCCACGGATTCACTGAAGCCTCCGCGCGGCTGCTTGGCGGCACCTGTGTGTCTGTGTGTGTGCGTGTGTAAATCCACGGTGGCGTCATACCGATCCTAAAATAAATCCCGCGGGATCCGATGGGTAGGATGCAGGAATGCTGGCACGTGGGATGTGTCACGAATATCATTCGCCAGCACGGTCCCATATGTTCTCTTCCTAGCAGGTATGCGCGCAGCTTCGCGCGCCTCGGGTAGCGTGAAATTTTATTAGGTCACCGCGAACGCGTTGCTCTTTCAAGTAGGTCTACCGCGTCGCGATATTTTCTGCCGATAACAGTGTACCTAGAGCCCGTGGATGAAACCAGGAAGATCATAGATTGGTGATGGGCAAACTTTTTCCGGGAGTGGGAAAGGAAAAAAATGTTTGTTGGGGCAATAGAATTTATTCTAAAAAGGAATGAATTCTTTCAAAATTTTCTTTTTTTAATTTAAATATGAAAGAAGTATGTTTTAGTAATTTTATGTGTGCTTATTAGATTCCTATTTTACAGGGGGGAAAGAAGCTTTTGTATGAAACATTTTGTTTATCAAATTTTATCTTACAAGGATATTTAATAAAATACAAATTTTGTTTTACTTGTGAAGATTCTTTATTTTTTTTGTGACTGAATGATGATCATTTCTCGTGACTTTCGCATTAGTCACTTGCATCTCTAAAATATAGACAGAGACAATAAATTATCGTTTATAATAGGAAAAGAATTATAACATGTTTTCAAAGCGTTCTCCATTTTGTGCTAAGCAATAATACAATCTGTTTTAAAATTCACTCTCAATTTTTTAAAAGTGTCCCTTTGAATATTTTTGCATTCCTGTACTATTTTATTCTTTAATTCGTCAATATTTTCTTGTCTTGTTTTGAATATTATAGATTTTAAATACGCCTATAACAAAAATTTATCAAATCAATTCTACCAATCTATTCTCCTTGAAATTTCTTATCCAACCATTAATAGCACACATCATAATTAGACTGTGAATGTTTATTTATAGGAAATTCGAATTCTCAAGAAACTACAGAATTCACTTAATATGCAAAAATATAAGAAATACTTGCAGTAAGATACGAATTATTATATTTAGGGGTTGAGACAGCCCTCTACAAAACTCCCATTTCATGAATTTTATTAATAAAAATATGAATTTGCATAATGATCTGAAATTTGACCATAAGTGAATAAATTTATTCTTTTATTAAATATCCTTGTAAGATAAAATTTGATAAAAATGTGTTCCGGACAAAAGTCTGTACAACCCTCTACAAAACTCCCATTTTATGAATTCTATTAATAAAAATATGAATTTGTATAAAGATCCACAGTCTGACCATAAGTGAACAAATTTATTCTTTCATTAAATATCCTTGTAAGATAAAAAAGTATTTTGTACAAAAGTCTGTACTTTTTTTGCATAGAACAAGAATCTGTAAATAAAAGTTTCCCATTTGAGCAAACAAGGTTGCCCTTGAAAGCGTTCAACAAATATAAAATAAATAAAATAGCTGTGGTTCTCCCTTGTGTTCGTGATACTCAGATTTAAAGTTTTCAAATGAACACCCCGTACGTATATTAGACCGTGACGTAGCAGGATGGATGATAGGAGTATGCTCGCTGTAGGGTGGAAAACAAAAGCCACGCGGTAAAGCCGAGCTGGCTTTTGATTGATCGACGGCCACCGAAAAAAGGGCTCCACGCACAGCAAGGTGCATTCAGGACCCTGCGTACGTAATTGCCATAAGCTATGCAAGGACATACACCTTGCATTTAACTAACCTAAATACCCGAAATTATGCATATTAAAACGAGACAAAATTTAATTTGTATCGAGACACAATGGACTTGGAGGAAAGACTGGCCAAAATTTAGAAAACAAATTATATGTATTGCACAATTATTTAATTAAAATTCTCTTGGCTCACTGTACAATAAATAAAATATTTAAAAAGTAACCCTCACTATTTTCAGTTATCTTAAAGTAAGATACTATTTTTACAAATAAAATATTTTACTTTCATAGTTACACGATTTAAAGTAGAGTATTTACTACTAAGAATTTGAAATAGTATTCTGGCCAGCTTTGCTGTTGAATTGGCAATAGAATGAGAATTAACTTGATAGTGTTTACGTTAAAAAGAAAGCATAAATAAAAGTTACTCAACCTCGAAGATGTTTAACAATTTTGTTTTCAATTCTCTTAGGAAAGATATCAAATTTGAATGACCAAAATTTGAAAATTTATGATATAGACTGAGGGTGTACTTGTGTTTGACCTCTCGACTATACTGACCGCCAGCAGGCTATACTTGCTATTGTTATATAATGTGGAGCATCCAAAACAGGCCACCTGAATAACTTGTCTACTTTTGACGATAGAAAAAATGCAACACACTAATCTAGCTTGGTGGGCTAAATCTGGTATCGACAGTTCTATCACAGGCGAGGGTGCAGAGATATTTTTATCGAACACTCGAACATAAGCATAACAACAAATAAAGATTCTGATCGCCCTAGATAGATCTATGCTTATAATATTAATACAAATATTGTACAAATAAATATCTAGATTATCCATCGATAACTTCTATTATCTCTTGGGTCAGCTAAAGGCCAATATTTTTATTACTTCTTAGAAACAATTTACCTGCGATTTGATGGATTAATATTGTTAATGGAGCAGATTCGCCTCGAATAATCGAATGTTTCGTACTAAAATCTTATCAGAACTTTTATTAAAAGTTATAAACTGTACATAACGCGATACTTGTCGTGCCAATATAGACATCGCTATAGGTGTTCTGTGCATTCAAGGCGCGCAACATTGTTTGCCAAGACAAAGCTTCGCGTAGCCACAGCGGATCAATGGCCTATTGAAAATTTGTTTACATTCGATCACGAAGACCTGCTGGCTATGTACGTGCACAAATACGTGCATGTATGAATCCCGGCTCTGCACAGAAATAAACCATCAATTTATCGCGTCGCGTGTTGTCGTGTTTGCTCTTTGTGGCTCGAAGACGTCGCCATCTTGATTGTTTCCGTTACCCTCGTGTGGGGTTTAAATTTTAGTTTTCGATTAATCTGAAATACTAGCAAGACTATTCGAAAAACAAATTTTTTTACACGAAGTGAAAGAAACGAATCTACGTACAATAATAAAATCCGAGATGTAAATTTAAAAATCTAGTCGATTATATTACTTCTGTTAAAAATGATTGCAAGGTTAATTTTTCTATAATTTCTTCTTATATTTGTGTTAATTTCAAATCTATTATTTTCTGTACCTGAATATTCAAGACTCTCTCGATTTAAAAAACAAGATGCACTATTTGGACAGTTGCTGCCTTTAAAAAATTAATTTGATCACGGTTATTACGATTTTAGAATGTCTTCTAAATTTAACAAAAATTATAGAAGGAAGGTGTGACTAATAGTAACTTCTAGTTATTTTGTCGTATGAAATATTAATTCTACCACGCTATTACGATTGCCAAACTACTATTCCCGTTTAGCAAGAACTACACGATCAAGGCGTTAATCGATTATAAGTGGCCGTTAATAGACGCTCCATTTACGCAAGATTTATGCAAATGATGAGTCAGAATGGAGGCACGCAATTGCCAAAAATTGCCACCCTGACATAAATCGCCAGTTGCTCGTCCACAACGATTATGCAACGAGAAAGCGCATCTTCGAAGAAAGGAAGCTTTTTGCAGCGCATCGCGTGCAATAAATCTTCCAATTACAGCCTCGACATCGAACGAGACCGAAACAAAGACTCTTTTCGCGAACAAAGATAAAGAATATTCGTCGACAAGGTTCTTTCTATTACAGCGTAAACATTAATCCAATTAACCGACACGAGATTGTAGGAATGAATATGTCGTATGAATGTTTATTAACTGGTATGGCTGAGGAATGTTTCGAGTGGATCCTTTACAGAACGAACGCAGCGTGTTTTGGTAAGATTGGCCGAGGTGTGAAAGAAAAGTGTTTGGGACAGAGTACTTGAGATTATCGTGTGAACGGAGAGCGAGTGGCCACCCAGGGCTCGAGGCGAACGTGACCGAATGCGTTTTTCGAATGGCTGATGACTGCATCTAGGGTGAACGAAATAAAGTGAAAGAAAGAATGAAAGAAAATGAATGAGAGAATGAATATAAGCCGCAGGAAAAGCGCGCAGCGGGCAGAAGGTTTTCCCCGAGACACCAGAGAGTTCGAGTGACAAGTGTGTATAACCGCGTAGTAATACTAAGTTTTGTGACATAATAAATATTATTGTTTTATAAAAACCTTTTCATTAATTGATCTGACAAATAATTCCTACAAGATTTTCCTGTGATCGTATCTTCGTTGCTCCGTTTCATTCCAACAAGGGAGCTCTTTACATAGAGGGGAAAAATTACACTCGACAAAACGTGGGCTTTATTTCGTATTGAAGTTAATCTCCGCGAAACTCGATACGGAATCGCGAAGTTGAGATTATAAAATATCTGTTTACGACGGGGAAACACATTTTCGTTAGATTCTATTTCGCTCGTTTAACAGTTTCTCTGTTGTGAAATTCCACGTGCTCCAGATAATTTGAAAAGAACGTATTTTATTTTGAAAAGCGCAAGGGTGTGAATAAATTTAATAAAAATGCCAAAGAAAACTGAACGAATGTATGAGTTCCATGCAACGAACAGGACGTTGAATCAAACGCGACACGTTTGTATAGCATAGAAAATAATAATTTATTCAGCGTTTAGCGGAAATTGAACGTACAGTGTACTGCAGGAAAACATTTCTCACGAAATGAACGAAAAACGTAAACTATTTTCAACGGCGAATGATTCTATTACGTATAACGAGGCATTGTTGGTGCACACATTTTTCGTCGCATCTTTTTATCTTCTTCTAAACGTTACAAAACAGTAATAAGATTCTCGTCTCCGTCTAAAAACGTATTTAAGGTGTGTTTGTGTGTCTATTCGATAAATTCGTCTAAACTTTTACCATCGCGTTCCGTTCTTCATCCAAGAGAACCTAACGCGTCCACGATCGATCAAACACGCATGAACATACAATGGATTCTTCGCGCCGTACTTTCGTACAATAATGCTCCAATGGCTCATTTCAGTCCATTATTTGCTTCTGTTCAAATTCGCATTTTATTCACTTTCAAAATATCCACGAATCATCGTGGATCTTGTAATCCCCTACATTTTTTACAGGACGCAGAGTTTAACGAGTAATATACACGCGTCCATAATTGTTGCTTAAATAAATATTCAAAACTTCAGCTTGCTCGCAAAATTTGCTCGCATTCTCGAGATTGAATAGTCCAGTGAAATATTTCCTGTATAATTGAACAAGTAAATGTCAACTCGTATACTTCGAATTATAATTGCGATACTGAGGGTCGGTAAATTTTGTGCGTGAGATGGTTCAACAATAAAACGCGAAATGTAATAAATATTATCAATGGAAGATAATTCTGCGTTTTGCAACCTAAAAGAAATGTTTTCCGAGCGTTGTAAGGCGTTTGAGCGAGGAAAGATTTACTTGTTCAATAATCGTGTTTATTCATTTCACTTGACATATATATATATATGTATAATAATATGGAACATTGCACGATGCTCGATCAAAATTTGCAGGCACCGTTGCAACTACGATAGACTTAAAAATCATGATACATTTGATAACTAACGCATAAAAAAATCTATAGTAAAAATTCAAGTCGATTAACCAGGTAAAATATATATGTATATCATTGAACGTGCAAACGACCATTACGTTCTACGTAAACGTAATTTTAAATTGCACTGAACGATTTCTAAATTCGTACGTTCGAAATCATCGTAAACGATTCTCAAGGGTTGACTGAACCGTCGCATAAAAGCGTACGATAAAACAAAAATTCCCATCGACACAACGGATTGTCTCTTCCACCGATCGGCACGGAGAACCGACAGAAACTTTTGATTAGCCACGATGAAAAGAATCCACTGTATCGTGGTTTATTGCTTTTTTCAATCTGCGGTCCGAAGTGCACGGGTACACGCGACACCCTGTTAAACGCGATATAATCTCGCACAAATCATGCTTCCTGCGCTTCACGCTACCTATCTATGTAAATTAACGTTATAAAAGGTCGCATAACGAACGGGGACAGGGGATAAATCGCATTGCGTTTTACAGAATAATTAACGCGTAATAATACTCACATTCATCTTGTACAAGTACATATACATGTGTATCTCTATAAATATATAGACAGTTACTTCCGTTCGTCTTCATACGGGACGCGTGTATCGAATAAAATTAAAAGAAATCAATAGAGACTATAGTTAACGCTAAAATTTGTTTAAATAACATTCGACCCCTTCCGAATGGAATATTGCATCGAATAAATTTAAAAAAAGTGGAAATATTACTGGGTTGTATAATTGGAAAATTTAATTTATTTGTTCTACTTTATCGTTAAAATGAAGTAAAAATGTTGAAAATAAAAATTTCTTTTGAGTTCTGTTCGACGCACGCGTTCAACGCGAACACGAACGAGCCTAACTGTGAGTATGTAATAATACTAAGTCGTAAGAAGCATTTCATTTACGTACCCTAGGTATCAACGACGCGTTACTCTCATCATTTATTATTAATTTTCTCCTACATCGTATAAAGTAATGCACTCGCTCCAACGAGCGTATGATAAATTATCATACTTACAATAAATCAACATTGCATAATTACACCGCGTTAAGTCTCATTTGGCTGACGAATTGCACGCTTTCAGAGGAAACCGCTATATCACCTACCGCGTGTCGATGCTCGAAAAAGTACTGTCATTTCGATCTGTGCACGGCGCCATGTTTTTTCTTCGTGGCAAACTTCTCATCGAACGTTCCGTTTCACCTTCTGATAACGCGTTGCAACGACGTTATTGTCAATGTTCTCTGTTCGACGACAGAAGTCAACGATAAACAGCTGGGAGTATAGCAAAAATTTGCATTTTTATCGATCTTTTAAATCGTCTTTTAACTCGATCCGACATCTTTGCCAGAAACTTTCTCGCATCTTACTGCGAATGACATGTTCGAAATCAGTCCAGAATTTTCTACGAGGGCAATCTTCCACTCGTCTAAGATTCCCGCGAAAAATTGTCGAATACAATGACGAACCATTGCTTATAAATTACTTGAAACTGTTTTGGCCGCTTCTGCATCGCAGAAAGCAACTCCGCGAGCAGTTTGAACTGCCTTTTGCCAGGCACAAGAAACTTTGAAATCTCCAGTTTGAGATCTGACGTTATCTTCATACTTATGGAACCTGCGATGCTGAATACCGAATGGTGCATTGTTTACACTATTGATCAAAAGTTTGGAAACTCGACCAGTGTGGGAAGTATGGATCATTTGTTTCTATCGAACTACGGGTAACATTCCTAATTTTTATAACGAATTTCTAACATTAATTTTCTCAATAACCTTTTACTACATTATAAAATCACTACGCACGGTTCAATTATCATTTTTGTTTCGAGATGACCGATTTACCTGAAACAAGTATTCTTTTTTTACTATAGTAATGGATTTTTGGCACAAGGGAGCGATATATAAAAGTAATTAAAATTACTTTCGATAAAGATTCCTATATCTAAAGAATAAAATAAATCGTAACGTCGACTGAAATTTGTCAACATTGAAAAAGTTCAACTCATTCGCTACAAATCCTTACGCGCGTTATCAGGGCATTGTTTACAATTACAAAAGGATCTTTACTCTTTCAGTTCCCAGAGAACGCGTACCTTGAAATATATTTAAAAAATTCCAGATTTTCCAACGCTGAACTACGGATGAACATCGTGGATAAATCGTAGGGCTGAAATACTCGAAACCATTGCACTTCGTCCAATCGATAGCGATCCGTGAGTACCAAAATGTAAGTACTTTTTGGGACACTGACTACTAATATGTATTAAATTGATCTGCTGAACACGTATACATAACACAACAGCGCAACAAGTATATTATTTCATCGCTACTCTGCCACGTAAATTGCTTCCAGTTTACGTTATAATTACACAATATGCACAGGGCAATATAGGGTATGCACACGAGAATCCTGCGATACTCTATGACGCCAAAAAACAACGTTCACACATAAAGTCGCGCAAGGAAGGTTTACGACAATAACAGAGCTAAAAGCTGTTTGCCGTTTTGTTCAACGTACACGACTAACAAATGCGTTCAGCGGACGAACGGAAACTAACGAGGCTAATGGCAGCTTAACGAAAGAACAGATTTGCAGCGCGCAAGATATTTTCTGATTGCTTCATTTTTACGATGCTATTCCAGATTTATTGATACGTTATTGTGCATTCGCCGTGTATCGCGTTCGAACGAACGACAATTTTTAAACGAAGCGTGAAACCGTTTCACAGAATCTGAAGCAAGCACGTTGGAATTAACACGTTGACCGTCGCGGTGGTCACTGGTGACCGGCACTTCGAGTTTACGATTTTCCTTTTAAATACTTGGAATGGGTGACAGTCAACGTGTTAACATCTTCGAGAAGGAATTATTTCAAAATAAAAATTTGATATATTGGTTATTTTTGTAGGGTAGTATTCAAAATGAAACCTGGAATCTTAACGTATATGGTTAATATTCAGTTTTTTTCGTCACTTTGAAATTATAAATAATGAATTTTTTGAGAGTATCAATTACAATTCGATTAATAAGTATGGATTATATGTACAAAGTATGAGTTACGTTTAATCAATACGTATGATTTCTATCTACAAGCTATGAATTACATTTGATTAACTCTTTCATTACAATCTGTACATTAATTTCGATGATATTTACCGTAGAAACGCGTGAAGCATAGAAATTAATTAATTGAAGTTCGGTACAAATTAGAAATATGGTGGCAGTATTCTGACTGATGGTTGAAAACGGTGGAAAAATTAGGTTCTTGTTCAGATGTTTGTAGTATATACAATATCTATGTTTAATATGTTTCTTACGATAAATGTCATCCAAGTTTAAATGTAGATTATAAAGAAGTCACTAATTGAATTCATACTTTCAAAAAATTCATTCATCCAAGTTTAGGTACACTTTAAAAAATATAAATAATAAAAGAGACGAATAGTATTCTATTTCATTGATACACATACTTTTTGCTATTCTCATTTCAAAAAGAAAATTTGGAAACGTTCATTTTTTATAATCTTCTTTTAATTTAAAAGCGCTCAAAGTCCCATCAAATACGTAATCACAACTCCCAGGTTTTAATTATTCGAATTTCAGCTTTTTTTGTTGTAAAAGTCCAGGCAATTTTATCCAATCAAATTATTTCTACTCTTTTGAAATGCTCCACGTAACGGTTCAAACGCATTTTCAACTTTAACTCAAAACGATGCGTTCAAACGGCTGCCCAAAAACTGGCCACGTAAAGCAAAGAAAGAAAATTCAATTTTATGTCCAATTTCGTACAAAAATTCTCGGCCAATTGGAACCCCAATTGGTTCCCCAAGAGATACCGATCCTGTACGAAGCCACAAATTTTGCCTCCTTTTTGTTTTCCGTTCCGTTCGCTCTCGTCGAGGGTGCAGTAAATCCAGGGAAGCCCCATTATCCGAAAATACGTAAAACAAGTCAGACAAAATGACGCAAGAAATTACGCCAGGGAGCTCCGTGGAAACGTACGGCCCCGGTTGCCGGGCTAAATCGAATAAATCCGAACCAAAGACGGTCGGTCTGGTCGTAGCTAATGCACTTGACCGAAAAATCTGTTTGCCCGCCGTACGTACGGCGACTCTAAATCCTACCAGGGTATCGGTAAATCTCCTTGTAGCCGATCTGCCCGGCGACAGCCCTCGAGAAACTTGTATCGTAAACGGTTTACCAAAAAATGAAACGTATCGCGTGCTCTTTCGCCGCGTAAGAGGGCGAACCGTTCGGAAACGCGCGATTACTTTTCGCGCTGATCGTCCAACGACCACGCTTCGTTTGCTGACCAATCCAATTAAAGGACCCGGGAATGCTCCGATTTTCCACGTTTACTTAAAAATACCGTTCCTGTGATTTCATCGTGGTTGGTACGCGATCTTGGTATCTTTCTAAAGGCAGTTGATAAGATTGATTTTGACTAATTTTATAATTCAATGCCGATAGTTTCGTTGACCAATCCAATTAAAGAAATGCTCTGATTTTTCACGTTTATTTAAAAACACTGTTTCTGTGATTTCACCATGGTTTCGAGAATTGTTTGTACCGTAAAATGTGTTGGTACGCGATCTTGTTATCTTTCTAAAGGCAGTTGATAAGATTGATTTTGACTAATTTTATAATTCAATGCCGATAGTTTCGTTGACCAATCCAATTAAAGAAATGCTCTGATTTTTCACGTTTATTTAAAAATACTGTTTCTGTGATTTCACCATGGTTTCGAGAATTGTTTGTACCGTAAAATGTGTTGGTACGCGATCTTGTTATCTCTCTAAAGGCAGTTGATAAGATTGGTTTTGACTAATTTTATAATTCAATACCGATAGTTTCGTTGACCAATCCAATTAAAGAAATGCTCTGATTTTTCACGTTTATTTAAAAATACTGTTTCTGTGATTTCACCATGGTTTCGAGAATTGTTTGTACCGTAAAATGTGTTGGTACGCGATCTTGTTATCTTTCTAAGGGCAGTTGATAAGATTGGTTTTGACTAATTTTATAATTTGATACCGATAGTTTCGTTTTCTTTTTTCTTTTTTGAAGATGTTAGTAAATTAAATCGATTGTAAAGAAATGAATTTAGCGCTGCAAACGCTGTTCTTCGATTAAGATTCGAAACAAACGTTCGAAAGAGTAATACTGCTGCGACGCTTACGAGGCGCCGCGGCAAAATCTCGTCGAGATTCGGGGAAACGGCGACGACAACTTGTAGAAGCTACGGTTTAACTATACAGTACAATAAAATACGAGGCGTGGGGTTTCTGGTTTTGTAACGAAGCGATTAATACCTGAACAGTCCTCGCGATCGGCTGCAGCGTGTATCTGCGGGAAGAAATCAAAGAAATCGTTATTTAAAATTGTAATTATTGTTTTTGCTCTGAAACAGGCATGTCGAACTCATTATTTTACAATACTAAAACATATTACTTCAACGAAAAAAATGTGACACTGCTTCATAGTCACCAGAATATCAAGATATGAAATGTTGGATCTATATTATTTACAAAGTTAAAGGAGGGTAGAATATTAGATTAATTAATTCCTTGGTCTACGACAGAGTTAGGCACAATTTTATTAGAACAGAAACAGAAATATTTCATTTTTTATTGTTTGAAACAATTAACGACTCAAATGATATATTTTTTGACCCATCTGGGGACCAAAGTTAATCTTGATCGTTCTGTCAAGTGTTCTGCTATTAGCCCTTTGCACTCCAAGAGTCTTTATTTACATGAGCAACTAGCAATACCAATTGCAAATTTGTAATGTGGCTTTTAGAAATAAAAAAATATTTTTTTCCCCCCCACAAAAATATATAAATTCAATTTATGTTTTCGTAAATGAAACTTGAATCGAGCTATGGTACATATTATGTTTGTCGCCATAGCGAAAGTGTTAATACTGATTTGCTTTGCATCCTACTTTATTAGAAGATTGATGTGTTTTGAGAGAATAATAATATTTATTAGAAAAGGGTTTCAAACTAGTCACAAACTCTGATGGCTCATTGGGTTGACATGCCTGCTTCAAATTATAGCGTAGATTTCTATAGGAGACCAGTCGATTTTAAAAATATTCAAATGGATCAAAAAAGGTCCTTAAAAAAGTAAACAAATGGCAGTATACAAATAAAACTATTCTTGCATAAAAATCCATTTAACATCGTTGACTGCCACGTCGCCCACATAGCGTAAAGAGCTAAAAAAATTAATTCTCAAGATTAGATGTTAACAAAAACAACGAATATACTAGTTTCCAATTATCTAAAAACAAAGTTTCCTTGCTGTGGGCAATTCGAGAGGTATGGAATTAAAAACAGTGGACCCATATATTTTCACGGTCCAAGTAGTCAGTCTCTAATTAGATACATCACTAACCTGAGCAGCAATTTCTCTTTTTTGGAAAGAACACGAGTCAGCGTCCAATCCCTCAGGCTCGATAGCATCGGAGTCCACTTTTTCGTCCAAGATGGTTTCTTTCGTTTCTGGTCTGCCGGGAGCCTTTCTCTTTCCCATCGACTTTGGATCCTGGTTCGTGGCGCTCCCTACGGAACCATCCTCATTGAGACTTTTCGCGCCGATCACAGTGTATCCGCCTTGAAATTTCACTGACTTCTTCCTCTTAACCTTACCGGGTCGCGTGCTCGAATCGCCGTGAGACTTCTGCAGCGTCTTCTCTTCCTCGCTATCTTCCTCGGGTATCTTCGCGCCGCTATCGTCGGATCGACTCGAAACTTCGATTCCAACTTTCTCCATAATCCCAGAACGCTTGGCCTCTTTCCTCGGACCTACCAACCTTTCGGTGCTCCTCTCCGCGAGCGATATTTGAAAATTATCCCTTCGCGCGTCGAAGGACCTAGCCTCGATGGCCCTCGCCTCCAGGCCCCTTCGAATGCTGAACACCGACTGGTGTCCCGTCATCTTATTCGTATCTACTTTATCGTTAGTTTTAGAATCTTTGTCGTTCGTCGCCTCGCCGCGAATCTCGTAGTACTTAACGAAGCTCCTAACTCTACCAGGGGTTATCGTAACAGCGTCGTGGGATTGGTCGTCACTTACAGCTACGGGTGTTACGGCCCTGTTATTGTCATTATTATTACAATGGGGTCGAGGAATTCTTCTAGCTATGGCACTTTTCTCGCCGCTACTCCTCCTTAAATCTAACTGCCGGCCACGATTAGGCGGCTCGTACTTCTCGCCACGATCGTCCAGCTCGTCCTCGCAAACTTTTGCGTCAGTCTTTTCGCTGCAGACCACGATCTGCAGAGGTTCTGCGGAGCTTTCGACCGCTACGTGGCTTTCCTCGAGAGACGCGTCACCCTTTTCGCTTTTGTCCGGCTCGACTCGAAGCTCGAGCACGCTCCTCGACGACTTCGGGTAATCCTCGTTCAAGGATCTGTGTACGTCCACCTTTACGACCTCTCCGTTACCGTTGCTCTTGATTTCGTAATTCTTCAGATAGTCTTTCTCTTTCAGAAATTCTTCGGAGCTCTTGTCGAACGTCAGCTCCTCGCGATTGCTTGACACTTCTTTCGGATACATGTTCCTATCGTCCGTTGGAGACTTATCGCCGTTGTTGCTCGAAGTTTCCACGCAACTGTCCGTCATCGTTTCGATTTTCTCTTCGTCGATCGCAAGTGCAAGATTCTCGATATCGGTTTGCCTTCCACCGTTTACTGGTTTCAATTTAATCTTGCCAAAATTGGAGAGCAGCTCGTTCAACACGTTGCACTTCGCCTCGCCAGCGTTTTTCGTAGGTTTGACGATCACAGGTGACTTTCTCAGCTTCGGAATCGCGTTGTCTACTTTCTTCGATATTTCGTCGGACTCTTGCAAGATCTTCTGGATCTCCGTGTCCATTTTTATCGATACGTTCAACCTGTTCGCGAGTTTACCCTCGTCTTTCGTCGCTGAGACCGAATCTTCGCGCGTCAACGATAATTTTGGACAGGCACCGACGATCTTGCAACTCGTCGACACGTTCCAGACTTCGTTCGAATCTTCCGACAGCATATTTTCTAAGAAAGAATTTCGTCGAATGTTAACTGGAACGCTGACGGAATTATTTCGCAAAAAGGAAACATCTTCGTCTTTAATTGAAGAAACAGGAGCGCCATCGTTCTCTTCGGAAGCTCGTTCTTCTTCAGGGTCGTTCGACGAAGAATCATGATTTATATTTCGAAACGACTCGGCCACGAAGAGCTTTCGTTTGTATTCCTGACTCGACTTTTTGGGCAAATCGGTCTCCGTCGACTGTTTCTTGTTACTTTCCTCCACCGATGACACTTTTTCATTTGCTTCGTAACTTACTTTATCCGATATTAAATCTTCCTCTGCGACACAGTCCTCCGTCTCATTTGTTTCATTTACTTCAAACCCACCGATCGCTGTTTCTTGCTCGTTTACTACGTTCACTTTCAAATCCTGCTCGACATCATTCACAACTTCCTCTGTACTCTGCAAGGTTATCTCTTCTATATTATTATTTTCAATCTCCGCGACTCGAGTTGCCTCGTGTACAATACAATCTACCGAAGTGCTCCGTGCCAAATTTTCCTTCTCGATCGAACCATCGTCTTCGTTCGACACAGAAACGCACTCTGCCTCCGGTTCCCCTAAATTCTCCGCCTCGTTCACGGTTTCCAATTTGTCAATCTCTAACGCGGACTCGAACGACTCGTTCTGCGACTCCAGCGAGGTCGAACCTCGAAAAGAATCGCCATTAGATCCTCGATTAACCGGAACTATAGAAGACAGCACGCTCTTCAACGACGGCCATTCGACGATGGAATTTCGATTCGTCAAAACAGAACCGAAAGGCACGTCGCCGAATTGATCGTTCCGGAAACCTTGCTCGTGGCCTGTTTCTCCCTCGTCCGTCTCCGCCGTGACTTCCGTCGACTGGACGGAAGCGCGAGCGTGTCCGGCTTCCTCGTCCACGAGCGAATCGATATTCTGCAAACTGTCGCACGTGGCCTCGCCGTCCTCGTCCAGCTCGTAATCCGGAGTCGAGGAACTCGGCGACTCGATCACGAATCTCACCTTGGTGGAGCGTGGAACCATTGGCTCCTCGTCGAGGCTCTCGCCGCTCATCGGTCCGGTGGATCGTCGAACGTTCACCTTGTTGCTTCTGTCGATGTAGTCGTCGAAGATGAAGCGGCTGGAATCGTCGAACTTGTCGAACATGGCGTTCCACCTATCCAAGCATTTCTCGAACGGCAGGTTCGTCGTCGTGACACGGAAGCACAGGTCGTTCTCTTCGTCGTCCAACGAGTGCTCGAACGACTCGCGAAACGATCTGATCCTCGACTCCTCCTCGTGTTGCAGCGTGCTGGACATCACGTTCTGAAAGTCTTGCAAGGTGAACAGCAGAGGCGGGTACTGGTTCGTCTCCTTCCTCGTCAGAGTCTCGTACAGAGGGAAGGAACGTTCGTTCGATGAATCGGCAGCGTCGACAGTGTCGTAGTTGTCGTTTCTGTCGGTTGAGAATTGCAGAGACGACGGCTGCGGAGCCTCCGTTTCGTTTAAACTCAGACTGTTTAGGGAGTCCTCTGTTTCCTCGTTGGTAGAAATCGTTTCTTCTCGATGATCTTTAGCAGCGTGGCATTTGACTCTTCGGGCGGCCCGTGGGGGCGGCGGCGGGGGTGGCAAACGTTTTCTGTCCGGCTTGTTACGACTGGTCGGTGACGTTCCTTGCGGAGATTTCACGGTTGGTGGAAACTTGGCTTTGCGTTTTTTGCGCCTCGGCGGGACCGGCGGTCTGTTTGCGGACTCTGCGCCTGAAACAACCATCGGTCGAACGTTGGTTTGCATGGTAAATATCTGAGAATCTTAGAAACGGTGGATACGGAGTCACTCTGATCGAACGTTTCGAATCCTTCACAGCGATCACTGAGCGTACGATGGTTGAACACTCGATTTCGAGCAATTGGAAATTAATTTATATTTGCAGCGACGGTTTACGATATTTACATTTGTGCATATTGCGGTAGGCCACGGTTCGCGGTTGGGTTTTAAACAGAAGTTCGTGATGCGAAAACGCGTGACTGACCACGGCGTTAGACCGTCCGAGGGATACTAAGGGTGATTCTCTACAAATGACAGACGATCGACCAGCCCTCTCTCGTTCTTTCTCTCTCTAACGCGCGGTCAGTAGCAGTGATTCACTAATGCTGTCAAGTTTAAATTTCCTATTGAATGAAGGAAGACCCTGACGAGACGTCCACTCAAATTCTAAAATCAATGATGGTTCCGAAGGTGACCCAAGTTGTAAACTTCAAAGCGAAGCGTATAATTAACGAAAGATTTATAAAAGCAACCGTTATTATTGTCGTAAATTTATGCACACGTTATGTTAAAATTTAAAGAATGGTTTTTATGGTTTTTGAAATAAAATTCTTTCTCTTCGTAGAACAAGACTAATTTGGCGATTGGTGTCAGACGATGCATGAGAATCGAACGTTGAATATTTTACGGATAAGAGACGTTCCCCGAGATCGGATTTTAATCTCTGTCCGGTTAAAGGACAAGCTTGGCGTGACCGTACGTATTAAACGAGGAAATACAAAGAGTCACAAATGGTGCCGCCTCGAACTCTGAGCAAGGCTTCGTCCGCTAAGTGGATAAAAACAATTCGATTAGGTTACGTAGGCGGCGCAGCCACGTTCGACATAATGGACATAACAGCGTTAATGGTATTCTCAACAAGATTTTACACGTACGCGCCCACCGTTCCCAACGGATGTCCAAAATTTTAAAAACGGTAGTAAAATTATTAAGATTCATGTAATAATGTATAATATTTCGAAAATAATTTCTGTTCCTATTATTTTAACATGTTTTAAATGAAAAATATAATTCATATTTTTACCGTGTTTTGTAAGCAAAATTATGCGAGTTTAACACTAGATTTACGGGCATTGATCGCACGTATATTTACTGGTACCTTTCATGTTGACATTACAATATTTTATATTGTAACCTTACAATACGATTTTTCTTTTAATTAGAATATGTATTCATGTCATTGCATCAATTAAGTTCAACATAAGTTGTTAAAAAATAACATTTACGCGTTCTGCAATTTTAAATATGGAATCAGACATCCGTCAGATTGACGGCTTCCGTAAATCTAGTGTTAAAGATACTGACTTTTACTGCATTTTTAATAATTAATTTTGCACAGTACGTTTCTATATTTTGCAGAAATTATTTCCATCGAAAGTCTTTTATTTATATTTTTGTCTGTATTTGGGATACACCTGGTCGCTGAAGTGAGTTATAACAGCAAATTTAAAAAAAATGCACCGCGATCGACGGGCTTCTATTAAGATTGTGATCTATAATAGGTAGTATTAATGGCTGCTAACCTGCATATCGACGATTAAATAAAGACTTGGCGACTCGTTCTGCTGACGTCGAAGTCCTCTATATTCAGCAACATACTAGCGGACTTGAGTCCGCCAGCATCGACGAGATCGGTCATGTACAGGCTGTTTGCATTGTGATTACCCATTGCGCTCGACGCAGCACTGCTGTATGCGCTCGAGGTGTTTTGCACCGATGCACCGTCGGTGGTCCTTTGAACGAGCCATTTGTTCGTCACGCTCGAGGTATCCGCTTCCGAGGACACGTCGAATCTGATGTCGCTGAAATCAATACAAGCATTATATGCTAACGGGCGATATTAATAAGTTCTGCATCGAGCCAGCACCGATTATAACGAATTCACCTATTTCTCCCACGACTGTTTCATTACGATCAGGCATTATTTTTTTAAGAGATCAACAAAGCAGAACCTTCGTCCGAATTTTTTCAAGCGTCCAAGTAAAATGGTACTCACTTCAGATAATTATTTTCCACCACGTTCTGTTCGTGTTTCTGCCTGGAGATCGCGTTTTTGCGGGAGGCGGCTTGCGAGAGGACCAGCTCGATCGTATCGGACGAGCTCTGCAGCATCTTCAGAGCGTCCTCGTACCGCAGGTGTAATAAATTCTGTCCATTTATCGCGACGATACGATCGCCTGTCACCGATAAATTTCACCGAATTAATAGCAGCTCGGTAAAAAATGACGCGAGAAGCGTACCTTTGTTCACGTTCCCGGCCATATCGGCCGACCCTCCGACCGATACCGCTTGAACGTAAACGCCGCCGTCGTTACCCTCAGTCACTTGCAACCCTATGCTGCCGCCGTGGCCTCTTTCCAGCTTGATCGTCTGCAGGATCCGTTCCTCCGCGAAGGACAACTCCTCCAACCGCGCCGCTAAGGAAGCGGACATCGATTCGTCCTCGGTAACGTGGAACGTCTCGTCGTCCGTTCGAATGTCGGCGTCTGTTTCACGTTTCATGCAAATTATTCGAAATTTATGCAACACGTAGTCTATTTTAAATTAAATTCGCTCAACGCTTCGACCGCCACTTTCGAACCAAAAGAATTAATTCTCGAGCTAAGTTCTAAGACAAATTTTAATTTGCATAATTTATGATTATCTAAGATCAAAGGGTCACTCAACGCGTTAATAATAAGACATAGTTCTAGCAACCCTCGGTCACGAAATCGATAGAAAGGACATTTTTGGTAATATTTAGTGTGGCTAAAAATTTCAAGCGTTACTGACTGAGCACGTATGCTTCCGGCAGGGGAGACTCCGTGGATCGTCCGGATAATGATTGTATCGATGATTCCGTGTCCGATTTCAGCGATAGCGACTCCATGTCGTCGGCAAGAGCGGTGTCTTTCGGAGCGAGGCTGCTGTAGATCGCTCGCGTTCCCATTTTTACCCCCAGCCGCCGTGGTAAACTGGGCGTGCGATAACCACCCGTTTGTCTCGATGTTCCATAATTCGGTAAGCTCGAGGTCTTCATCTGCAAGACACGACACCGATTTTAGTTTTAATTTTCATATTAATCCTGACATCATGAATCTAGCAAACGTCTCGAGCGTTCCCTCTGAGGAGACACGAATAAACTATTAATAATTATACAGATTCTACGCGTAAAAACAATTAAAAAAGTTTTCGAGCTATGTCGAGTTGTATGTTCATGTGCATGTTTAAAACATCATAAGTCCTGAACAGATTGGAGGATTTTAATGTTTCAAAATGCAAAGAACGCGTATTTTGATGCAGAATGTGTAGACATTTTAAAAATATTCAAAAAATTATTCCTTAACCACGTACAGTGAGAAAAACCCCCTAAAAATGGCCCAATCTTCAAACGTCTATAACTTCTACGATAGTGAACGTATCTCAATGAAATTTAGTATGGCAGTAGAGCTCATGGATACCTACAAAAAAGTACTAAACAAAATTTCTGTAGGACGTTAAACAAATTTATTAAAAATGAAAAACGAATGTTTAAACAAACAGGGGGTAGGTGCTGAAATTTTTCGGCGAAATTGAAAAATTTCAAATCGTTCTAGAAAAATTATTTTCGATTGGGGGAGTCAATTACAATCATTTTTGGTGAATAAACATACCCCCGAAGTCCTATGCAGTATCGAGAAAAAAATTAATTACAGAAAATTTCATGTCTGACCATACCATTGACATGTTTCACTGAAATTTCATACGTATGTTTAAAACATTATTACTTCCGAACGGATTGGAGGATTTTAATTTTTCAAAAGGCAAACAATGCGTATTTTACTGAAAAATATGTATATGTATGATGAAAAATGAAATGCCCTTTAAAACGCCATAACTCGAAAACAAGGTCGAATAGGACGTATATTTATTTAAATATTTTTTATTGTTTTCACGTGTGGAATCTAGTCCCGAGCTAAAGTACGAAAAATTGAACAAAATAAAGGCAGTAATACTAAAACATTCAGCGCAAAAATTACTACCAATTTTCTATTAAAGTTAAAAGTTTCTTCGCGCAGATCCCCTAACTTAAGTAACAAACGCCACATAATATCATCCAACTAAACATAGAGAATATAACTTATAATATAAAAATTTATTTACTTTGTGTAGCGACTTCTTCACGTCGGTGACGTCCCATACCTCGTCCGGAACCGGAAACTCCATCTTCCTCGAGATCCCAACCTTGTTGATGGCCGCGTACAGTTCCTCGGGATTGTCTGGCTTCTCCAACTGGTCCAGGTCGTTCGACGAGACAATTTTAGGAATGGAATAGCCGCATTCCGTGTCCGTTCCTAACTCTATCCGCGGGCAATTGTAAACTTTCCCGTTGCTTTTCATTCCCTTCGCGTCCAACGAGAGGGGCTCGTTGGGAGTCGTTAAACTTCTCTCGGATTCATCTTCCGTGTCACGGGACTCGCCTTCCGGCTCCAATCGAACGTTCACCTGGGCGTAAAGGGCGTCTTCCTCGAATGTGTAGAGGCCAGGCTCGCGAATAGCGTCCTTCGTCTTTGAAACTGCGTTCGTCTCCTTCTGAGGATTCTCGTTCTCTTTGTTCTGATACTCCTCGAGCTGCATCGGGTAACTTGGCCTCGGCTGCGTGTTTTTCACGGTGTTCGCTATGGCTATTTTCGTTTTGCTGTCGTGAGACTTCGTCTTCGACGGCGAGGCCTTCGTCTCCATCGTCGTGGGAACCCCGAACTCTGCAAACCATTCTCGTTATCCGAATGTCTCAATTTTTAAGTCTAAAGCGCTAACTAAACCGTCGATTCTTGATTCGTGTCGCGGTCTCGACGGTCACGCGATCACGCGATCGCACGATCGACTTGAAATTTTAATTTTTAATTTTGCTTTTGGCTGCTCCCTTCGTTTGTCTCCTCGTTTTTAAAAGTTAAAGATTACCTTTCGCGAGCCCCTGCAACGAAGTAAGCTCCGAACGCAGCCTCAGGAAAAACTGATGGTGCAGAGAGGTGAGCTTGAAAGCGAAGTAACTTCTGGAAAACAAAAATACTCTCTCAAACTTGCAACCAACGCGACGCCTCGCGCCACACGTTAAATCCCCTTTTAAATTCTATTCGAACGCGGAAACTTAAAGTGGCCTCCCCCTCCTCTCTCCCTGTCGCTTTTTAAACTCTTTTCGCGTTAAACTAATTCAAATATAGCGTTTCCCTTTGACTCCGCTTCCCGAACAATCTCATTGAATTAACTCCGAAAATGCAAACTTCGTAGCCTCGAGTTATTCAAAAGTATCCAACAAAAGGTGTACGCGGCCAACGTTTTAAATATTTCATATTTTTACGCTCTTTAACGGAATAAGAAAATGTTGTTTTTTTTTGGCTCTTTGGTTACTTCAGAAGCTATAATTCAAACTGTAAATCTCAGTGTGAGATATATTATATTTGAACACAATAATTTTCATTATAGTAGAGGAAAACACGAAATTAGAAATGATATGAGCGAAGTAGTAACTGTGATAAGTGAAACTTATCAGTATTTTAAAGGGCATTAACGTATATAACGTGATCTAAAATAAGAATATGCAAGTTATCGATGACCTTAAATAAAATAAAATCAACAATAAATATCTGTACGCGTAACTTGATTGGTACTAAGACCAGCAACACTGTAGACTACCTTTAGGAGCCTAAATAATAATTTGTAGAATAAATACCGTGCCATAAAAGTGGAACAAAGTAATATTAACAACTAAACAATCATATGAACGTGTATATTAAATATTCAGGTCGTTTCAAACTAAACTGCACAAAAGTGCACCGACGCGAAACGTTCAATAAAACGAAAACTTACTTTCGATGATCCATTCTGAGCTTGAACTTGCATCGTTTCCCATTCACTTTGCTGTAAACGACAAGACAGCTTTTGCTGTAGCTGAGAGTCTGAATGTCTTTCCACTGAAACTGGGCCAGTTCGATCCTCTCCCTGGGTTCTCCGCCTCTCTCGAACAGCTTCAAACCTTGCGCGTGGATGGCCAGCCAAACGTTGCTCTCGGTTTTCTTCTTGCCGCCTTTGGTACCCTTGCCCCCGTGATTCATATTATTGTTCACGTTGTTGTTATTGTTGTTGTTGTTGCACGTCTCGACCCGGGACTTGGGCGACTTCTGAGCGTCGTAGATCTCGTTCGACGTGGCGCTCTTCGTCAGACTCGGTTTCGTCTCGTCGATCCCGTACGGGATCTTCGGGAGATTCTCGCACGATCCTAGCCGCGCGATCTCGATCCTCGCGCGTTGAGGATACTCCTGGAGTCTGTCGCGATTGTAAATATTTTCCGTGGCCTCGGGCGGCACGCCATCGGACGCCTCGCGATTCTCGCTCGCGTTTCTCTTCCTCTGCTGCGCCATCACCTTCTCCAGCTCCTTCGAGTCCACGGTGGCGATGTAATAGTGCGAGCCGTAATCCGCCAATGTCTGAGCATGAGTCACGAACATCTCCTCGGCCTTGTTCGAGTCGAGGCCGCGTCTGTCCCGGTGAGCCTGGTGGAGTCTGCCCCGAAGAGCCTCCGTCCCTCCGTTGTTGATCTGCCCCTGATGCTGATCTATGTTCAGGATCAACGACTCCGGGACGTAGTGCTCCAGCAGGAAGTAATCGCCGCAACCGTGCTCCTAAATCCAGCCACGAAATGATATTTTCCTTGTAAAATGCATTTATGGAAACTGATTTTTATCTCAAACAGGAGGGGTTGCAGAGAGTTTCTTAGCTATTGGCATTTTGATGCAACTGCTTGAAATGATATTTTCCTTGTAAAATGCATTTATGGAAACTGATTTTTATCTCAAATAGAAGGGGTTGTAGAGAGCTTCTTAACTATTGGTGTTTTGATGCAACTATCAGAATATTGTGAAATGAAATGTAAAGACAAACGAGCTTAAAAATATTTTAGTCTTCGAAATGGACCGTTACTGCTCTGCTTATCGAAATACAAGTCCGAACGAAATTTAATTATTTTTCGTTTTGCCAGTAACGTTCAATTTCGTCGACACGCGTGAATGTATCGTTTACTCACGTTCACGTTATAATTTCCAAATTCGGCTTGAAGTGCGAGTCCAGTCAGATTAATTAATTCCGGGTACGGGCACACCAGCTGTTGTTCCAATATACATCGTCGTATTTGCAGATACAGTAGGTGCTTCGATATCCAACTCCTAAAGTAATTCACGATTAATCGATGTTTGAGCAATTTGCATTGTCTTGATGTGTTTGCACGTTTGTAGGAAGAGATAAATCTTTAAAAGTCTCGGTGAAAAACGAACTCGAGCGTACCTTATACCACGAAGAGAGGGTAGAAAGAACCTTAGCCGCAGATACAGCATAAAACTAGTCGGGAGACCCAGGAGGCCTTTACTCTTGCCACTGCTTAGCCATCCCGGTGGTGCGACCTTATTCAATTTAGTTTCAGGCGGCAAAATCGCGAAGTCACCCGCCAATAGCACGGCCAGTCCAAGAGTGAAGTTTTCGTCGAGGCTTTCAGCTTGCACGATGGCCTAAAACCGTTTGCAAAGGCATGCATTATGCGAGCTACCTGATTACGCGAGATCAAGATCCCCTCGTTATAGCGGGAATCGCGTTCGTTGAATTACTCTAAGATGTCCTGGTTTCAAAGTACATAGTAAATCACAACATAATCGCAACACAAAACGAGACTTTTTCAGTGCGTTGCAGACCAGAGTATGTATTTTCAAATAGCACTGTAAAAATTGTTTAATTGAACGCTCCTAGCGATTTTTATTTCTCCGCGAAAGTTCAGTGAAAAGATGGTATTGAAGTGGAAGAAGATTGATGAAATCGACGCGAGTTTCGTAGTGACCACGCGATAATCGTTGGTATCGCATAACTGGGTTTGTGGATTTGTCGTATATAACGATTAATCTTGGCAGAATGCCAGAATTTCTCGAGAGTTCACGCCGGAATTTGTGGTCTCGTGAATAGCCAGCTACATCTTGGACTTCATAGCGAAACATTAGATATCCGTTCGACTGGCCGCGTAACAACGGAATAGTTTTAAAAATATCTTTGCGCGTTATCAGTTTCTTACGAACCGTGAAACATCTATGATTTTCGAGCATGACCTGCAAATGGACAGATAGCGCGAGATATCAATTTATTTCGAACTACCCAATACAATTCATATAGCATGACAATAAAGAAAGAATAAAATGTTCTTAAGATATCATGTCTTTTCTTTATTTAAGTTTATCAATAACGAAAATTTAAAAAACTAATTATCGCTAGTACGTTTATGAAAATATTTTGTATTTACTTTATTATATTATAGAAAATCTATGTTTCTGTAAATGATATTATACGTATCATTCGAACATAATTGGCCAGCAAATTGAATCTCTTATCATCGAGGGACACTCTCCATGGAAAACTCTCGGCAGTTCGTACTTTTGATTGAACTTCGGCACTTTTCATCTTCGAAAACCGATGTGTACTCCGGATCAATTTACAGATTTTACCAAGTATTGAAACCAGAATCTCGTGTAGTAAAAATTAAACAACTATTGGATAATACATTCGTTTGGTGCAATTAACTTAAAAATTTATTTATTTAATAATTACCTGAAACAAATCACCGGCTGTGACTTTTTGAGGATCACATGTCACTTCTACTCGTTGCCCAGTCAGCATTATCACAACTATTCGTCCAGAACTACCAGCCTATTTAAAAATAAAAATGATAAAACGAAATAAAATACTATTATTCTTGAATATGTTGCAAGTAAATATGAACATTCTTCTGTATGCATTTGTCTAAAAGACAAACATTATTTGATATGTTATTAATTAAAAAGTCATAAAAATAATTTTAATATGTTCGTCACTAATTTTATTAAACAATGTTAATAAAAATAGGTAGCACGTTTATTAATTGCAAGAGAACAAATTTAGAAACTATTTCAGTTGCTTAAATGTCTGTTATAATTTTATAAACAGGCTTTATATTAGATATTTATTGCACCATAAAGACAATGCCATTATATTAAATTTCGATTAACCTCAAACCATATTTCATTAATGATTAAATATTTTTTATATTTTGTATAACAATTAATTTTAGATGAAATATTAAGATCATATAGATGTTTGTTATGATCTAATAATATACAGGGTGTTCGGCCACCTCTAGCAAAAATTTTAATGAGCGATTGTAGAGGCCAAAATAAGACGAAAATCAAGAATACTAATTTGTTGGTGGAAGCTTCGTTAAAAAGTTATTAACGTTTAAAAGTGCCGCTCTTACTGAATTTTTTTCTCGAAAATGCGCAAGATTTCGGGGGTATGTCTATTCACCAAAAATGACTGTAATTGAACCCTACAACCGAAAATAATTTTTCCACAACGATTTGCAATTTTTTAATTTTCTCGAATAATTTCACACCTTCTCTATTTTTTTTCTCGAAAGTGGGCAGGATTTCGTGGGTATGTCTAATGACAAAAACTGATTGTAATTGACCCCCGCAACCGAAAATAATTTTTCCACAACGATTTGCAATTTTTTTTCTCCGTTGAAAAATTTAGGCACCTAATTGGATTTTCAGTAAGAAATTTTTTTCTCGAAAGTGCGTACGATTTCGGAGGTATGTGTAATGATAAAAAATGATTGTAATTGATCCCCGCAACCGAAAATAATTTTTTTAAAACGATTTGAAAAAATTTTTTTCGCCGAAAAATTTCAGCACCTACTCGATTTTTTTTCTCGAAAGTAGATAGGATTTCGGAGGTATGTGTACTCACCAAAAATGATTATAGTTAACCCCCGCAACCGAAAATAATTTTTCCAGAACGATTTGAAATTTTTGAATTTAATTGTTAATAACTTTTTAACGAAGCTTCCATCAACAAATTAGTATTCTTGATTTTCGTCTTATTTTGGCCTCTACTATCGCTTATTAAAATTTTTGCTAGAGGTGGCCGAACACCCTGTATAGCACATAAGATCATGGAAGTTCCAAGATCCGGTATGGTCTAGTGGCTAGGATACCTGGCTTTCACCCAGGAGGCTCGGGTTCGATTCCCGGTACCGGAATATCTTTTTTCCCATTTGAATTTAAGGCTAAATATTCCCTTTAAGGCTCCTAAAACTCAGGGCATTCGTGATCCGGTATGGTCTAGTGGCTAGGATACCTGGCTTTCACCCAGGAGGCTCGGGTTCGATTCCCGGTACCGGAAAACTTTTTTTTTTTTAGTTTATTTTTTATACTCAAGTGCATAACTTTAGATTTCGACATATGAACAATCTATAAATTGTCTAATGACAAAGATAGAATTTAAATCAAAACTAACCCATTTTCGGTGGATTTTTAGGTACAAAACAAGTACTATCGCTATGTAAATAGTTATTAAAGACCAGTCTTTTGTTTAATAGGTCACTTGACCCTATACTAACGCATACTCGTCCTAAGTTTCGAAATTAGGATATAACCAATCAGCGTAACTGCAATACGAATTATTAGTCTGATACTACAAGCCCCATGTATCCATACTGGACGGTGCAAGATCTTCTAAGCCTCTACTGTCTCTGAAGGACAGTACGAGAGTTGACATATGTATATGTATAAACCACAATTCACACAGCAGGCCTTAGCTTTACTCCGTGATATAGGACCACCACCACGATGATCCGACTTCATCGGGGGAAGATTCAACCCTATCACCTCTTTCACCGACTCTCGCGATACTATTTAATCCATGGTGAATCCTTCGTGGCATGATCAGTACCACTTTCAGTCAAGCTATCTTATTAATTCTTAAGTACATACTACGTCAATGAGCGCTTTGTATATTATAAAATTAGCCGCTATGTAGACACTTTGTTATAGCAATTATCATATCGTTAGTGATATCGATGATTCCTTGCTTCGTTCACGTGTTTGTCTAACGAAATACTGACGTAAATGCATTTATTAGAAAATTATTAGTCTTCGTATTGTACGTTCCGACAAATGTGAACGTAAGAAACTGGACTTTCAATCCGGTGTGGTCTAGTGGCTGGGATACCTGGCTTTCACCCAGGAGGCTCGGATTCGATTCCCGGTACCGGAATTTTTTTTTTTTTTCTTTATATTTGTATAGTATAACGAATATCAAACATACAAATTACTTTGATATTAATTTTTTAGTTTATGCATTATTTAATTCTTTATTACATAATAACGATCGAGAAAATTATATATTTGAAGACTTATTCAAGACAGATATCTTGACAATTTTTATATTAGTTCAATTGTATTATATAATACAAATATAATTTAATAATTCATACTTGTAATTTATATTTGTATAATAAAAATTTTAACACTGTTTTGCCATAGACACTTGTGTATAGGATTTATAATATATCTGAAGTTGTTCTGTTTACTCCTAATGTAGATATATTCTTAAATATTGCTCAATTTATGTTTAAGTAATATTATTTAAGTATTTTTCATACATTATATGTATATATGTATTATATATAAATATTTTCAACACAAATACACGAATCAAATCCGGTATGGTCTAGTGGCTAGGATACCTGGCTCTCACCCAGGAGGCTCGGGTTCGATTCCCGGTACCGGAAGCTTACTTTTTGTTATTTTTCAAAAATTATTATTTTTATAATTTAATTTACATTATAAATTTTAAATTGTAAAGTGTTCCCCAATTTTTTATGCTTTAAAGATTCCTTTCTTTCGCTTTCTTAATGTATAAATGTTTTTTAAATTTGTTCTCTCGTCTATGGATTTTTTCCATTAATAAGGGAATTAGCTGCTCTGATTTTAAGGGGTATAAGAAGCGAACCCTTCGAAATTAATTCAATGTTAATATTCGTTAGAAAAACATTATTTACCTTTATTTGGCCAACACACAGAGTCTTTGGCGGTTGGTTTGCACGCACCACAAACTCTGGACCAACGCACTGCGCTTTGTTGAATGATCTCGTGGGTCCACCCACGGTCCTATACAGGCGGGACGGCGCCCTTTGAACCGCTTTGCCGCGTCTAGCCCTCGGTCCATTCTTTATCAGATTTCTGAAAGGATCGATAACAAATGTCTATGAAAGCGTGGGTGGATAGTAATGAAATGTCTCGTATTGTTGACTAGGTATTCCAAAGTCAGAACGCGGGTTCACGTGCCGTGGAAATATAATATGTACACTGTCTAAACATTATAGAACATAATACACTTAACAAATAACAGAGTTATACCAAAATAATTTAGTAAACTTTCAACTGTAATAACTTTTGGACTATTAGGTTTAGGGCATAAGGACTTTTACTTTTTTCTAAGGATTAAAAGACTGCATCGAATAGTACTGTCAAAATTATAAGATTCTATTTTTAGAAAGAAGTATAATTACATTCAGTTTGTACGTCATTCGATGCCCTTTAATTTTGCCATATGATACTTTCGTGTATTGTTAATCCTCTTTTCACGATCCTCTTACCAGGAAAACCTTCCCACTCTATGGCCAGATCCTTCCAGACAATATTTTTATTCTTTAGAAGCCTACCTTGATTTGTGTCACTCTCTAAACATCCAAACCCACTCTGAACAATCAATTCCCTGACACCCGATATCTACGTGACTTGGAGTTACTAGCCATCGTCTAGGGACCACCCGCGGTGGTGCATAGTTTACGTTAAGCCTTCCTTCAGCCCTCGAATCAGCTATAAAATCCTTCAAAGCGAAAAAGCATCGGACCATCCGCCTTTGAAACATTCTTTGCCTCTTCCAGCTAAAAACACTTCGACCAGATGATGATTTACAAAATCTATCGCTGCCCGTGATATATCATTGAGAAATTTAATTCTAAATATTTACTCGCAATTTTTATAATATTGTTTCTACTACTAAAATGTCGAGAAATATTTCTTCCCTATTTCCTCCTTTCTTACGTCAATCGTTCTCATGGTATGCTCTCTCCGCAACCAATTCTATTCTGTGGAAGCCCTTTTTGCGTCTAACTATTTTCTTTTATCTTTCCACCTTCCTGCTCGCGTTTTCTTGGTTCGAAGTTTATCGGTAAACTATGGCTAAAGATAGAAGATCGTGTATTCTCTCTCTCCCACCCTCTGTGACAGGCCAACATCGATCTTTACAATTTGTTGGAGGCAAGTTGATAGCGGAAGAAGGTGGCAAACTCCTTCCTCCAGGTGACTAGCGGAACGATAAGGTGACGTATTACTGCATTAGCCAGTTTCAATGCCTTATACAAACACGAACCCGAATATTATCCAACGAAACTGAAGACTTTCAAATATGTGCAACGAAGAATATTAAATTCATGTATCATTAACTAATTTAATATTTTCGATTTTGCACCGTAGTTGACATTCAAAACAAAATATTCTGTTTTATACAGACTTCATATTTGATCCGCGAGCCTTTGGCTTATGACTCGAACATACTTTGACATAATACTAAATGTTTACAGTATTTTGATCACTGTGTTTTTGTACCTTCTCTCGCGTGTCTTCTTCGCCAATTTAATTTTTAAAAACGCCTAGACATTCTCTGCGGTATCAAAATTTGAAAATCAATGAGGAATGAGGGTTCTAGGTGACAAACGTGGCCGTGTCCTTCCGCTCTTAGGCTCGCGAGTCTTATACTCTTCTCTTTGTGGGTGCCGGTTCCGGGGCTGCGACCCAGATCGCTTGAAAGCATATATTAACGCGGACGTATGACTTGGGGACAAACTTAATAATGAGGACAGAGAGGATGCGAGAGACTATCCAAAGGACTGTTTTACCGTTGAATGATGCTTTTCACTTTAATTTAACGCTCCGTCTTCACCCTCGAAATTGATGAAATTCCAACGCAAAAGTACGGTTAGGAACGGTGGTTATAAATTTCTACAAAGCACCGGATCGATTCGACACTGTCGCTCTTGTTTATCGGCCGCTTTTGAACTTTAGGCCTGCCGGAGAACGTGGCTGAGGATAACAAGGATAACCAAGGATCGAGTACTACACTATCCAAAAAGTATCGAAACTTTGTGACTTCAAACGATGCAATATAATCTCGTCAAACCATCACGTTAAAAATAATTTATTTAAAACGATTGCCTCCGTTTTGAAATCGAAGTTTCTGCTCTGACGATGCTTTTTTCAGGAACTCCAAATTGCCACATTTCCTTTGATGTGTTTTTTGTTAGAATATTCCAGAACTGATAATGAAACGGGTTTAAATCTGAGCTTTCAAAAGTTCAATCATCAGCTTTGACGAATGTAGGAATGTGTTGTTTGCCAGCCAGAGCGGAGTTGTTTTTGCTTTGTCAGCGAATATCTTGTTGGAAGGCTCACCGTTTTCCATTGAACAAGGTGTCGTATGGACGTTGTCACAGGCTTCGTAAGAGCTACGAGCATAGATTTTATCCCTTTGTTCGTTGAATTTCTCTCCCGTCGTGAAAACTTTTTCCATCGACGAACAACTTTCTTCCATAACTGCCGTTTTAATTATTCTGCTCAAACTTTACTCGATTTTTTTGATTTGTCAAATAACCAGTACACCTCTCGTGTACCTTTGTAAACATTCAAATTTGAAATACAAAGGAGAAGTATTTTTTTATTCAACTTTTTAACATGTAATCGATTTTATCTATAACTTTTGATGTTTTGCTAGTATTGCAACTTGGTTCGTTAACAGTCTGATGCTGATCAGTATCAATACATCATTAGACCGCTGATGAAGCTATCTGCAGCGTCAGCGAAACGTTGTAACACAATTCCATAAGAACTCCTCACACCAACCTCCCCTAAAAGACATTTCTAATCGTGTACTTTCAACTATACAAAATACGACACATGAATTATAATCAAGATTTATGCTATCAGCCTTTCCATTAACAGTTTCAGTTTTTACGGTCAATCCTAAGCCAGTTATTTTCAATTCAAGTGAAATTATAATACCAAGTCTTCCCTAAAACTATCCTTGCAGTACATTAATTATTTTACTAATTTTTATAAACGATTTTTATTTTCTTTTTCTTTTCGTATTATAGGGGGTTTCACGTGGATAAATAAATAACAATAAATTACAAATTGTATCCTCATCATTTCGAGAATATCGAACGACCTAATATGAATGATGAGAACAAAAACAATAATATTAAATTAGCAAAGTATTAGAGAATACCGTTGACTAAAGTTTGTAGAACGCAGAAAAATTGAAAATAAGATAAGAATTACCTGGGTGGTTTGGCTGGTGGTTCTAATCTGGTGCTTTCCGTGTCGGAAAATGGCGTCTTCTTCAAGGTGGTGATAATTCGCGGTGGCTTTGGCGGTCCTTGAACACTTCTGACCCTTATGGAAGACACTGGATTTTGTTGCTGATCTATCTGCTCCTCTTTCCTCCTAACGGCCAGACATCTGTGATCGGTCGTCGTGAAATTTTGCTCCGGAGGCCGCTTGAAATCCTCCTCTTGCTGATCCCTGCTGGGCAGTTGAGGATTTGAGCATTGCCTCTGCAACGCTGGATTCGGTCGTCCCGCTGATTTTCCGTAAACCTCGTCTCTTACACGTTCTGCAGACGACGTCGCTATGTCTGGATGAGAATACCCAGCGGCAGACGGTCGCCTAAAACAATTAACCTTGCAACGTTAACTCCACCTTGCTCCTCGGAGTCCCTTTTGTAATTAGCAGGTACAGATTTGCGTCAACAGTGCATAGAAAAACTCCTTTGCCAAGAAAAATGATTTCGAACATGCTTGGAAAAATTTTCCAGCAAACAGGATCAGTCTCATTACCCGGAAACAGGGTCAAACAGGGCGCAACGTTTATGCGAACTATTTTCACTGCTCTTACGTCCCCTGTCCACTAAAGTACCACATGTAATGAAGCATTCTGCATATTCTACACGGACCTAAGTGGCCCTCTTTCTCAAACGAATACGTGCATTTAATAGCAGGCAAACGAGGACACCCTGATTGAAGGGTACAGCAAACACTATCCGTCATGAGGAATCGCAAGGATCGTTAAAACTAAAAGGGCATAATACCTTGCTATAGTTGTGCTTGTATAAACATCCTCGTTACAATGACCGACCGGTGGCTTCACGGACAGTCCGTTTACTCTGACGTCTTGCGAGCTCAGGAACGGTTTAACTGGCAACGCGTAAATAGGGTCACTGTAAACGTTCCCCCCGGAATTATTTTCCCCAACGACTGTCGGCAAATTGCCGCTGCTTCTGGTATGCTGCAATCTCGTGTATATCGGCTGGGAATACGTTCTGGAATGATGGTGTCGTCGTTGGTGCTGAATGGCCGGTCCAACCGCGCGACCAGTCGCTTGTACGTTTAGCTGTGACTGGAACTGCGACCTCCGATCGTCCAGGTTCGCCTCTTGGCGTCGATTCTGTTGCGTTTGCTGGCCACAGAGGCTGGTCAGGTTCGGATGAGAATGAGAGTTTTGCGACTGCAGCTTGAACAGTGCTCCCTTCGCCGGATGATGATGGGGAAAGTGATGGACTTTCGGTATCTGATGCTGCTGCGGGGGATCCTGAAGCTGTTGATGATGCTGGTACAGATGAACTTGACTCGGTGACCTTTGCACTCGATCCTGCTGGCTCTGACGAGGATGATTGAACTGATTCGTCGCGTGATATTGAGCTCGATCCTGATGCGGATGCTGATGACGACTAGTCGGTTGATTGTGCACCAACTGAAGAGGATCCAGTTGCTGATAATGGTGAGGATAATTGCTCTGACGGCGACTTTGCTCGGCTCTGTCTGCGAGATTACGAAGAGACGGCGGAGGGTTCAGATGATGATAGATCATGCGTTTCCGGGCGGCGTACTGCGGCGATTTCACCACCTCGCGGTACATGTCCATTACTATATGAGTGAAAGGCTTTGACTGCAACCGGGTACGACAGTATTCGGATATCACCTGAAACAGTCAACCAAACGTTTGTTAAAGTTTTGGTGAAACGAATCACCATTATAGTATACGAATATTAGTGAGAGTAATTGTATACATTTTCAAATAAATGAATCGACCATATGATTATTAAAAATTGTTGAATTATTAGTCGCAATTATAAGCGTTTGAAGATTTTGAGACATCAGTTAAAGGTTCTGCCATTTAATATTAACCCATTATAAGCCAGTGTCCTATTTATAGGACACTGAGTATTTTATTTTTTTTCAACCCTTAAAATTGGTTCAAATTAAATGAAAAATTTACCACATATATTTTCGGGTGTATTAAACTAAATTATAATTATTGTTGTATTATATTACCAATATAATTGACTAATTGATATGGCAATAGTAAATTTATGGCTTCTTTACAAACGAGTCAATAAATCGAATATCAGTTTATTAGAATTTCGTCGATCTGTATCAGTTTTCTATTAAAAATTAACTTCAAATACAAGAACTACAGTAGGAAGACCATGTACATCAGCTTCTAAAGTATTCACGGGCGTAAGATTTGACGGAAAAGGACATTTCATGGAAAAACGTGAAAAACAGAGGCGATGTCAAGGAGAGGGTTGCAAAGCTAAACCACTAACATATTGTAAAAAGTGTACAATAACATTATGTAAAAATTGTTTTATAGATTATCATAGGAAATAAATGTATTTTTATTAGTTTTAAATAAATATTTCAGTCTATAATTGTTTTCAATACTTTCATATACATATACTATACACTTGCAATTCTGATAGCACTAAGTCCCAGCGTCCTATTTATAGGACAGGCCAAAATTCAAAAATGTGAGGATTGAAAAAATTTTTGAAAATATTTTCTTAATCAGGGCAACGTTACTAATAAATTTGAATAAGTGAAATTTTGAAATTTGAAAAAAAAATAATTTGGGCGTTAATGGGTTGATATAACGAAAGCACCCTTGAGCTACGGTTGAAACGGATATAAGAGGACATAATCGATGCAGAATTTGTAGAAATTTCGTGGAAGGATATTCGTTGAACAGAGCGTGCCGTTATCGCGTGCTATCAGAAGGTGGAAATCAGGCGAAGGTAACGAGGTGGAAGTTCTCAAACTGAAACGAGACTATCGGGTCAAACGTTTTAATAGATTTAGAGGTTCCCAGAAACGATACTGTTACGTATCTCTCCGCGGGTTTAATGAGATTGCACACGTGTGTTTATCGCGTTAGGCAAACGGTTTGATTATCCGATTTCGAAATTGTCGCAACCCCCTCGCTGGAGACAAACTATTAGTTTCGGGGAACAATAGCTCCGGCGCGAATTCCATAGACGCGGCCAGGCTACGATATCAATCGAGAAACGACCCGCAAGTGCAAACTATAATCGATTCAATGTGTACACTATCATTGTACGATAACAGAATCGAATTTTCGAACGCGTAGTTTCCTTTGAAAGACAAAATTTCTTTCAATTTCTCGCATTAAAATTCTTTTACAAAGTAATTTATTTGACATAAATTATTTTTTAATTGATTCATTTTCGTTTTGTTTACGTGTTAATTATCGTCACGACGTGGGCCTACGAACATGTTCAACTTTAAGGAGCAAAACATAATTATAAGACCTGTAATTATGATATAATGCGGTCACGTTATTAAATTATAATTAGGAGAATTTGAGCCCGACTTAACGCCGGAATTAGTTCAATTACTCGGTGTGATATATTTTTTTGCGTAATAGGATTGAAGTTGTCATGCTTTTCCAAACACTTATATCGCGTATCTCGTGCAACAGGGCTATAGAAACTCTGCGTGCTGTCAGCGGAACATTAATTTCAATTTAATTAAAGAGATACGAAAAACGATCTAGTTTTCATTACTCGTCCCGGTTTTTATAATCTCTCGTCCACTTGTGCGATCTTTTGATCGTGCTTGAATACACTTGATGTATGTACGTTAATAATTGATAATTCTTGCAACTTAATAAAATTCTAATGGAAATTCTTAAGTGCCTAATAAAATTATAATAGAAATAACTTCATTTTTATGTTATCAAACTGAAATTCTCTTCCTTCATCCTCTGTACAAATGTTTGAACGTCTATCGTTAGATACAACTGTAACAAAATTAAAAAGTACGATGCATATTCGCGTCACAATGCTGTACAAGTGTCAACGTATATTTCGTTCTTCGCTCGTTACCAGAAAGATCCTCTTTTGTAGTGTTCCGTAGCGTGCGACGAGAAATGGATATTTTATGATAATGTTACTCGAAAACGATAGTAGCGCGTACCAGAGCACTCACACTAACAAATTCTTTACCTAAAAAAAAAAAAACAAAATAATGATCTCTCTCTGGTGAAACATGCAATGAATAATTCACGACCTTATTCAATCCGACCAAGCCATCGATGCTGAACTTTACTGTCAGCTATTACTTATTCTTCGTAATCTTCGCTGTAACGCTACGAATAACTGTATCTTAATTATATAACGTTTTAAAAGAGAAATCTAGTGCCCGAGTTTCGATCTCTGTAAATAGCGTTAAGGGGCCTTTCTACCTTGTGGGATTTAAAAAATCGAATTTTTTTTGCGTTTTCTTTTAGTATGTAGTCTCAAAAATATATCTACCAAATGTTAAATTGAAATTTGAGAAACTAACGAAGCTATAACCTGCTGTAATGTACCACACGCAGGTATGACTGGACGTAAAATTTTAAGTTGCCTTTCTACTTTGTGGGATTCAAAAAATTCAATTTTTTTTGCATTTTCTTTTATTATGTAGTCTCGAAAATATATCTAGTAAATATTAAATTAAAATTTGAAAAACTAACGAATTTATTTCGACGTATTTCTCTAGCTATATTCATGTAGATTAAAATTTTTTGTTTTTTTTTCTAGATACAAATTTGGGTCAGTTACACTGCGTGCCGCAGAGCGCCTCAAATTCAAATCACGTCTCGCGAGAATGGCTCCAGCGTCGTCATTTTGCACTATTTTTTAATAAATATTTTTTTTGTAACACTTAACGACATGGTTAATAACATTTTTGAATATTATTATCCTCTTACTTTTCCATCCATCCAAAAAAACAAATCGCAAAAGAACGCTTCACTTCAGGTTTTTACAGTGGTCTTACCCCTTAAAACATCGAATTTTTTTTTCGTTTTCTTTTAGTATGTAGTCTCGAAAATATATCTACCAAATATTAAATTGAAATTTGAAAAATTAATTAAGTTATAGCCTGCTGAAATGTACCGCGCGCAGGTATAACAACTGGACGTGAAACTTCAAATGCGTTTCTCTCGAAACGTTACTTTCTTAACTGGCGTAGATAAAATCTCAAAAACTATACGTTCGATTGTTTTGAAATTTTTACACGTTGTTCCACATACTAACAGTTCTCGGCCGTAACAAAATCAAATTGTTATAATGATTTTATCATATCTTTTTTATTAAAAAGTTGCAAAAGAAACGACGAAATTTTGCAATTTCTACTTTAAGCTTTCACCATTTTGTCAATTTGCAACATAAATTAATTATTTTGGTACGGGCGATAACTGTAAACCTACCGAATAAAAATTTTTTTGATTTTTTTGATTTAGGCAACCTTGAGTGCTGCAATCACCTACGACAGTATTTAAACACATGTTTACTGCGGACGTGATAACAACATTAAAAGTTAATAAAAATTAATAAAAAAATTATCTTGTATTCCCAAAGGATAGCTAAGTAAACTCCAAAAAGAATCATAATGACAGATGTAACATTTCCTTTTAAAAAATTAAGAAAAATGGTTCAATTTTCTATCATTCACATGAGACTCCCCCCTTAAAGCTGTTTATCTCGAAACTACATTTTTCAGCACTGCGTATGTAATAACGAAAAAACTATTCAAGATATCAACATGAAATAAATAAAGTATCTTTAGAACTGGTCTCTCTATAGCATGAACTCGGATAATTGCGATATATGCAATACTTTTTCTTTTATTAACAAAAAAGCAACCGAATATATGAAAATATTCAGTATTTTTTCGTAAAATAGCTGCCATTTTGCCATTTTTTGTTTTTTTTAAAAGATCCTAGTTCTTGCTATAACCACACTCATCTACATTAACACTTTATTGTCCGGTAGTATATTAATCGACTTTTTACCGATTAACGTTTTACCGACCGGTAGCTTATTAATCGGTTGTTATGAAAATAAAAAATATCACTAGATTTAATTACCCTATAATAACAGAAAGAGAACAATATAGTAACCACTGTCGCAAAGTTTCATTTAACATTCCTATAAGTACAAGAAAAAGTAGATATAATATGTATAATCTAGGGTCAATCGGTACCGGTCGGTAAAGTTTTAAGAATATCGTTGGTTTTTGGATTTCGGATAACTTGTTCGCAAGATATCACATACGAAGTCAGACGCCGTTCGTAAAAACTGTTGTTTGTTGATCAACAAAAACAGCGTAATCAATAGATATTATGCATTGCAAAAATTCGTAAATATAGCTAAATATATAATAAATTTATCTACAAAACACGGAATTAATCGCTCTTTAATAGCCCGCAAAAAAAATCACAAATAAACATGTATTTTTCGTGCCTGTAAGGTAGAATGGCCCCTTAAGACCTCTGACCCGTTATCGCGTGATACTATGTCCGTAGATAGGAAAAAAGCTGATCGTTCGGTGACAAACGTAAAATCGATATCGTTAATTTCGCGCTGACGTCCGCGGAAGGACGTAGCAGTTCCGACGCCAGCGGGGGTGTGCTTTTCGTCTTATCTCGAGGGGCTTCTTCCTTTGGGTTTCATCTGCATAGCAGCCCATCGGCGAAGTGGCGATCTCCGGGCTGGATAATTTATCGCGGGTCGAGGACTCCTCGCGGAAATCGGCGACGGTGGAATAAGTTCGCGCCTGGCCCAGGGATTTCATCAATTTCGCGGCCCATTCAGGTGCAACCGATGAGTTACGACCGGCCGAACGAATGGCTTTATTAAAGTGGACGGTTCCCGGGAAAATGACGCCGCGTGATCGAGGACGACGCGCGTTAATCGCAAGATCCTACGCCATTGTCCGCGAGAAACGCGACGAACTATGTTTCAAACTCCAACGACGAACAGACAAGTTTTATGGAGTTTGTTATTTTTGTGTGGGCGAACCGAGAAGCTGGGAATATCGGAGCACTGTGTGGGGTGGTCCACGAAAAATCGTTGAAAATTGTTTTGTTACAAACGATCGGAAATGGGCGTTCTGTTTTGGAGATACTGATTTCTTTTTGTGAAATGACACATTTAAAAATAAATAACGATGGATTTAAAATAATGGGTTGTTTTGAAGTGGATAGTTACAGAAAATTAAAAAAGAAATAAAATATGTGATAATATAAAAAATTCCAGTGCAATTCGCATTTCGTTTCACATGTCCTCGAAATCGAATTTAACGTAAAACGTGATTGCAAAAAATGGTAGTAAAGTATTGTATTCCATGTTTTCGATTTATTTGTCACGTAGAAATTCGTTTCACTGCTTTGCTGAACGCTCAATATATGGAAATCTTTTTCGAAAAATATTTATGCGTAAATTCGCTGAACACGAGCGCACTTGTTTACATCTACATAAACGTGTCTCTCTAATTCATTAATTCTGTTTGTAAAAATTGATACCAACACGAATGGAGATCATATAATAGGTTTTTATAGCTTGCTTATCTGCTTAAGAACTTAATAATTTGCAGTTTTATTATTGCAAGAATCGTTGCAAGCGTCAATTAGACAAGCTCTGATTCTTGCAAGGATTATTGGAGCACAAAAACAGCTGTATCTTAATGGAAACAGAATGAAGTAAGTCAACAAATTAATAAGACAGTCAGTGTACGAGTGTACAAGGTTACAAATAAAACGGGTTTTCGAGTACGAATTTTCCCCATCTATTAATCGTCATAATTTCAATCTAACGCAATCCTATCGATCGATTTAACTTTATCTAGTATTTTGGGGGTCAGCTTCGAACTACCGTAATACATCAATCTGTTCTCTGCTCCAAACCATTTCCAAGGGTAGATGCAACGATACACAGTGTAGAAAACAGAATTAATTACGATGACTTTAATTGATTACACAATTTACTGTCGACGCAGAGATATCTGTTCTATATTCTATCTATCTACATAGCTATTGTACATTCTTTGTTATCTTCCTTATTAAACGAATCTTTGCCATTCAATCGTTACAATCGTACGTTTCGTTCGTAAGAAGGTCGTTCCAGCTTCGCTTTGGGATACTTTCTTATCAGACTTCGCCCAAACCGTGACATCACGTTTAAATTCGCGTCATGCCTGAAGGGTTAGGTCAGGAATTGACTGACTAGGATCACTCTCACCGTTCTCTTTCTCCGTTCGCGCGACAGATAACACGATTAGCGAGCCACCGCAAACGCTCTTGAAAGTGCTCTCTGCGATCGCGTCAAGTTCGTCACAGTCGCCTCTGTTCGACGGAGAGGCGTTCGCGGGTCCGGTATTAATTAAATTTGTATCGGTAACGCGTGACGATATCGGTGACGTCGACCAAGTAATTACGTAATCCGGCTCTCCGATGCAGAATTAATGGAGCGCCTTTTCGCGCGGGAAAAGCTCGCGTTCCTTCGTCGAAGCATTTTTTTCCAAAACTGCGTTCCTTTTTAACGCGACAACGACTCCTACTGGCATTGAAATAAATTTTCTTTATTTAATTTTAATAGATTTATTTGGGGATCAAACGCGGTAGAGAAGGGCAGGGAATTTATAATTAAATTTGATCAAAGCTTCCTTAAATGTTATATTGATAATGATTTTTGTAAAATTATTTTGAATAGAAAAACAATTGAATCCAGGGGAAATGCTTTCGAGACTTAACCGTGTTCGTTATATTATACAAACGGAGGAAATTACTCTGAAAGTAAAAGAGTGATCGTGCCCGGCTGAATGGATAACGAGAATTTTGGCTTCGACTTGGGCGAGCGCGACGGTCGAAAAATTTCAATAACACGAGGACGCTGCATTTTATGGCCCGGAAATTGCATTATTATTCTCACGAACGGTTGGCCCGTTGTTCTCCCGTTGTTTGAATCATGCGCATGCATCCGATTCAACTCCGATGCAGCTGCTTCTTCGAGCAAGCTCGTGATTCAAGATACCTAGGCGCTCGATGTTCTTGGCCGTTACACGGAAATTAGTTTTCGACTCGCAAAAACGTTCGACCGCCAAATTAGCGAACAGCCATAATTGCGTATTATTTAGAACGTATCCGCGAAACGTAAAGCTCCTTAGCTGGGAAGCCCAATATCTTGGCAACAGTCAACCAGAGGGCAATTAATAATCGAATCGACAGCTTATTACATATTAAAAGAATTTATAATCTTTATAAATAAATTTACAATTTATTCTTTGCTCAGGCATAATATTTGAAAATAATAAAATTTTAAGTAAGAAAATCTTTTAACTTCAAAATTAATGGTAAAAAAAATATTGGAAAACTATGTTTTGTTTTTGCAATATGAACAGGAATAATTGGATCATCAGTCATTGTTCGTAAAAATCTTTTAGACATATTTATAGACTATTATAATTTACAGAATATATGTATATAAAAAATCATAACTCCTGAACGGATTGGAGGATTTAAATGTTTCAAAATGCAAATAGCGCATATTTTGGTAAAGAATTTGTAGGAATTCTAAGAATGTTCGATAAGTCGTTCTTTAACCCCGTAAAGGGAGAAAAGCCCCATAAAAGTGGTCCAATTTTCGAACGACAATAACTCCTACAATAATGAATGTATCTCATTCAAATTCATTTGTGAAATAGTGCTCATGGATACCTACAAAAATGTATTAAACAACATTTTCGTAGAATGTCAAACATATTTGTTAAAAATCAAAAATTAATTTTTAAGAAAAATCGACAGGGGGTAGGTGCCTAAAAAAAAAAAAATTTCAAATCGTTCTAAAAAAATTAATTTGATCTAGGGAGGTCAATTACAATCATTTTTTATGAATAGACATACCCTTAAAATTCTAACCATTTTCGAGAAAAAAATTCGAGTAGGTACTGAAACTTCTAGACGAAATTAAAAAATTTCAAATCATACTAAAAAAATTATATTTAGTTACAGGGGTTAATTAGAAGTATTTTTGGTGAATAGACATACCCTCGAATTCCTGCGCACTTCCGAGAAAAAAATTCCTTACCGAAAATATAATTTCTGGCCAGAATTGTTTTCCCAAAATTGCATGCGTATATTTAAAACATCATAACTTCTGAACGGATTGGACGATTTTAATGTTTCAAAATGCAAACTACGCGTATTTCAGTGAAGAATATGTAGAAATTCAAAAAATATTCGAAAAGTAGATCCTTGACCCCGCAAAATGAGAAAAACCCTATAAAAATGGTCTAATTTTCAAACAGCCATAATTCTTACAATGATAAATATATTTCAATGAAACATTTTTCTGAAGTAGAGGGTACCTACAAGAAAGTATTAGACAACTTTTCTGTAAGGCGTCAAACATATATATTAAAAATCAAAAATGAATTTTTAAGAAAAATCGACAGGGTGTAGGTGCCTAATAAACGTTGAAAAAAAAATTGCAAATCGTTCTGGAAAAATTATTTTCTGTTGCGGGGATCAATTACAATCATTTTTTATGAATACACCTACCCTCGAAATCCTAAGCAATTTCGAGAAAAAAATTTTTTACTGAAAATATAATGTGTGTTAGTTGAATTCGTGTTTTATAATCGTACGAAAAGGTTATATTTTAAGACGCGTGACGATAGAAAACATTCTTTTAAATGAGCTTTTAATAGTTAAGTTTGAGACCTATTCAATGACGAATTAAAATCAATGATAATTATTATAATTTCATAAGATTCGACAAACTTCAAGCGTTATTACAGATTTCAAAAAATAAATGTACGAGAGAAAGCTGTTTCTATCGTCCTTCTATTTTCACTATTTTTAAAATACGAACACGCTCGTACGTCTCAGGAATATAAATATTGAATTCTATTTTTATGTGGCAATTTTCTTCGTGAAACCGTGCATGCGGATAGGTCCTGGCGAAGGAAATACTTACACACCCTCGACAGAGAAACATCCGAGCGTAACGATGCACAATGAAATGTGGAATACTGAAACGTTAGCTATTGAATTATTTCACACGTTCTCCGTTAGTGTACGTCCACGCGTGAATCGAACATTCAGGTATATACGTACGATTCTTGCATTCCCAATTCCCATAATCAAAATCGTTGGGTTTCTATAAACTCTTTACTATGAATCAAAATTACTATGCTGAAATATTTTCAATTTATGAGTCCCAAAAGTTACTTCATTCCTTTTCTTCCGTGTTTGCAATGGAACAGAAAATATTTCAAATTTATTCATTCTTCATAAGCCAATTTATAAGCAATATTAAATCGAAGAGAACTAAAGACCAGAATTTGTTACTTTCGACCTCCTCTCTACAATTTCATGTTATTTATTTCCGGGATACAGAAACTCGGGAGTGAAAACGTTAACCGAATGAAAAAGCTAGTTCAAGACGCTATTAGTCATTGCCGTATAAATAAAACAAACCTCCAGACCCAGTTTCCTTGGCCATTTTCCGACCCGATACGAATGAAATTTACGTCATAGAGTGCAAGCTATTAACAGCCACGCGGGTTACGTTACGTAGCAAACAAATGTGAAAAACATCGTCGTGCCCCGGAACAGATATTTTATCCTCTCTTTCCGCCTTGGAGCGGTTATTTTTATAACGGGTCGCCTTGCGGGGGGACGAGAACCGCTATCCGATTTTTGCGACAGACAGGAGAGAAGGAAACAGCAGAAAACAATTTCCACTGGATTTACAGACTTACGTCCAGAAGATTCATCAAGGATGCTCGTCTTCGGGGATCGGGTTCCGTCATGGCGGCTAAAACGGACTGAAGCGCCGACGAGGGTGAAACGGAAACCGTTCCCATCAGCGCTGCGACTCTCGGGGTTGTGTCCAATAATGCCCTTCCCAGCGAGTACATCCACATCTAAAAACCAGTCAAAATTTCGTGCGAAGGTGACAATGCGTTCGAAATACACAGGGATAACGTTTTCAGGGGCGGATCGTTAAAATAAACAAAATTCAGATATCCATCGGTGACATCTGTCGAGCTTGCGACAGATGTCATCGATCAACGTGTGAACTTTTTTGTTCGTTTCAAGCGAAAACGTCGTCGTGTTACATAATTACAAAATTAGGTTAAAATTATTTGTTCAAAATTATAGTTGTTTTCATGCCATAATACATGAAATAAATTAAACCAGGCAAGGCAAATTGATAAGTTTAGTTACACTGTATTCGTATTACAAACATTTATTTTAACAATAAAATGAAAAAAGTATTATTTTTTTCTTTATTTATTTCTACTTTTAATAATACTTTACACATGGTGATAAAGTAATCGAGGAACAGAAAGAATTGAAGAGAGAGGTAAGTACGTCTACAAAGTGTCATAACACGGAAATGACGTGTTTCATAATTGTGGGTGAGAGTACTGCAATATGGCCAGGTGACTGCTACAGCTGTTGCTATTGTACACACGTATTTCTCTCTCTTACAGTTTTATAACGGTTTCTTTATACTACGATCAATCCTCAGAAGAGACAATCGCTGCGTGACACATGTCGATTTCGATGAAACTTTCCACAATTGTGTATTGGGCCAACTTTAGAACCTCGCCGTATTTGAGTAATGCTATTTTTGTACTTTCAGGAAAACACATCTATTTCATTTCGACTAATCACTTTTATTTACGAACATACAACTCGTGAATGAGAGTAACACCGATTTCAAGTACACGAAAAGGACAGTAAAATATTGGAAACGTAAACGAGAATCCCTTAACGTGGTACAAAATCGTTTTCGAAACGTCAAGGTACGCAAACAGTTATACAACGCTTGCGAGAAGTATATAGAAGCAGGTGGTACGCGAAGAGATAAATTATTATATACTTCGGATTACGTTCTTTCAAAGCTTACCGATACTATTGACAGAGTCTCAATAATCCACAATATTGATCTCCGAAAGTGGACGTTAGAAGCGACAGGAAATACAGATTTGTCAATATTTAAAGCAAGACGCGGATACATAATTTCAAAGAGTACACGACATTGTTTCGCATAAAATAATATTTATACCTCTCAAGCAGCGACAAAATACTGAACATTCAGACGGGACGGAAACATTTTTAAAAAGGGTTGTTTATTCCTCAAAATACAATGCTAATCAAATATGTCGCAGTTCTTGGGTTGTTTATTCCTCAAAATACAATGCTAATCAAATATGTCGAAGTTCTTGAGTTGGTGCAATAAAAACAGATACAAAGTTCAATGTCCAGGATAAAGAAATATCAAAATTTTCCTCTATAGATCCCACAAGTTGCAGCTATCCTACATAGGTTTGGATTTGGAAACTTGGTGGGATCGATCAAATAACTTGTCGAGGTGTTGATCTGCCAGGTCTTGGCTATTGAGGCGGGAGACTCAGCACAGTTTCCATTCCCGCAATCTCATCCACAGGCTCGAGAGCTCGTTGATAGAAAGCTGCGTATTCTCTTGTCTGTGAATTCTCCTCTGGCGATGTATTGATTATTCGAGGTTCGCTGACGAACGAGCGTTCCGTTCGTGGTTCATCCTGGAAGTACCGAAACCTCTGGTGGCGTGTTGGCCATTATTCCCGGCGTCTTCCAGGGAGTCAATCCCAAGAAAGGTCTCTTGTAACCCTTTGCAACACGAAGGATCGCAAACAACGATGGAACTCGTCTTTACCAAAACAACAACGGTGTTGAGCACCATGACGTTCTCTCTGTTCGTGAAACGCCATTTGTAAGGGCGATCTACGTTCGTCGTTTTCTGGTGGGCTTAAATTTAAGAGCTTAAAAAGGCTCTGTGGCATAGTTTTTGTGTCTAAATCCATATATTTGAGCGTGTCCAACGATAAGGATAATAACAGTCTATCATGGTTAGAGGCTTTCTTCATCCAGATTTTCCACATAGCCAAGCTTTTGTTCCACTTCAGAGTTGGATTTTTATGTCGTATCGATTTCGTATACGAACAACTGGAGCACCGAGTTCTTCTTTCTTCTTTCGACTGAGTGGTTCTTGTTGTTGTATGAAGTAATAAACGCGAGATAGCAAGATTCTCATCAGTAAACTCTAGCAGGTCCTGTCTTAAATTCTGGGACTTCCAATGGTCGTTCGAGGAGTGCTTGTGAGACAGAAAGGTTGAGCGTAGCCCTCTGGGGGCGAGCGCGGGAAGTGTCGCCACAGGTCTTTCCACTATTTCCAAATCCAGTTGCGAATCAGCTCCTCGAACGACGTTACGGAACTCCCGGAAATATTCCCTGACGTTCAGGTGCGATAAACCGTGCAGTATATCCAACGAAACATCCTGCGGTTCGGAGAATACCTCCTCCTACAGGATTCAAGCCGGATACTTTGGAGCAAAGGCGAACCGAAACATCTCTTTTTCTCGCGTTTCCTCTCCGTTCTTTGCTCCTTGCTTCCAGTAGCAATTGGAAACCTCTAAGAACGTTCTCGAGTTCTTTGAATATCGAGAGCTTGTCGATGAATTGCTTCGCCATGGTTTTGTCTTCGATCCTCTCAAACGCCGTGAATCCTGCGTGGCGTTCTTGTTGCGTGGCTGTTCTTGCTGTAGCGACTGGATACGACCCTGGTCAGTTCCTTCTCTGATACTTGAAAGGTCATTTTCTTGTTTGATTTGTTTCAACTTGGCTCCACAGGTGTATATTTTGGTCTTAGACCCCTTCTATGTACGGATTCGCAGTGCACTGGAGTCCATCAGGGGATTTGCCCAATCAAGATATTTGACTGCTCGAATTACTTTTACTTCCCTAAGGAGGAAAAACAGGTGTCTGTCTTTTCGAAACGAACTTTAGATTTTATGGTTTTCTTGTATACAGTCGCTACTGTATCTAAGCTGATGTGTTGTTTTATTTCTCTTGCGAATAATAATCAGAACAAGAAACGTTATCTTTGAAAAATCGTGTCGAGCATGATCTCTGGATATTCCGGTTTGATTCCCGCAAAAATTGCGTCGCATGGAAAATATCGGAGTGGATGGAACGGGTGTCAGGAGGAGCGAGACTAAGTTACACAGCAATTACGTTCGTGGCATTCGTGCAGTGTTTGCACGAATCATTGTCCGCGATCGTCTTTCTTTTTTTATCGCGTCGAAATAGCTTTCAAGCACGTGTAACAGAAGTTTCAATTTCCTGCGTAGAGGTGTGCTCAGCTAAACAGAATTAGTCTCCGTACGTGTGCCTTTTTTTATTCGTTACAAAATTGCAACCGATACGATGCTATTTTATTTTTGTATCACGAGGTATTATACACTTTTTAGAACGCTAAAATTCGGTTTATATTCGACGATTGCACTCTGTATTAATTTCTGCAGCTGTCTGACACCCAGGTATAATAAATGGAAATCAGAATTTGTTCAGCATCAATGTACATGATAAGAAAAATACGTGCAAAATAAAGGAACAGCGATACACGTGACACCGACAAATGTAATTAACGATCTTGATTGATCGATGGTGACTTCGTGGAGCTGAATATGAGTGTGAAAAATGTTTAAAAGGTAGGTAAGTGTGCTCAGGGATGGCAGCTCGTCAGGATGGCGTTACCTGGTGCACGCAAGAACCTACTAAAAAGCGAACCAGAATCACAGTGTAAATCACCTAGACTACCTGCTATAGGCTTAGTCCTTGTTCAGGGTTTCGCATAAAGGACGAAGCTTAGGTATGCACCACGTCTCCTTTCAGCAGAAGCCTCGTCCCAAAGTATATGTACAGGGCAGGTAGAAACTATCGTCAATGCTGTCGCCTCTTTCTCTCGTCCATTCTTGTACACTGCCACTCAAAAGTCTCCGAGCAGTTGTTTCCAAGAATACTTCGATATTTGGCGTAGATCAGGATTTTCTAACCATTTCTGTATCATGTTTCAACGCTTCAAAAATGTACACATAGCGTAATAGTCGACCAAGTTTTGACGAAATTTAATATAAATAGATACTTGAAAAAGAAAAAAATAAATGCAACATAATTCTCTAATAACTCCCAAAATATTTAAAATTCTGAACTACCTTTATTAGCTAGGAATTACATTTAACGGCCAATGAAGATATTAGTGTTTGGCTCTTGGAATGTCCCTAAATAATTTTCCTGGGAAAGATGTTTTCAAGCTTCTAACGGTTGCATAATCGTTTTTAGGTTTACGCAGAGCTTAATGACTATTCTAAAACTCTTGAGCCACAGTGTACATAGCTTTTGCATGTATATATATTTTTAAACAGGATAACGCGGATGAACGTGGATTTCGATCCCTCCCATAATCCCTGTACTGCTGGCTCGCGTAAAATCGCAGGAACAGGAAACTATCATATTACGAGCATAAATCTTTTCACTGCTATTTGGTCCCAAAGAATTTTTACTCCTCGAAAATAAATTTGCAAAAAAAAAATAGAAATTCTTATTCCGTTTCTAATAAGAGATAATAATTACGTTTTACTCCGAAGTAGAAAACCTGATTAATAGTATTTAGTTAATAGTATTTTTATTGCTCTGAAAGATCGTGCATACTATAGTTTCAATCAGTTAAATAATTTATTATTTACTGGTAATCAATGAAACGCTTTTACATTCAGAATACATTGAATCAGAGATAATTTAACACTGTGAATACTAATTAGTTACTCTTGTTAATCGCAAAAATAATCTGTCACAAACATTTTACTTCTGAAATAAATATCATTACAACCAGAATGCAGAAGAGGATCGATCGGAAGGAGTTTATTTATTTTTAAAAGCATCGTTCAATGTTTGTTCCAGACTTGAAAACCATTCCATTTGCAAATTGATAATTTTCCACGGATACAAGGTACGAACTACAAGAATTTTTTTTTTGCGCTAAATAATATTTACTATGCAACGCGAAGCAAGGAAGAACGTTGCGTAGAGATCGTACCACGCGACGCGTGAGGGTAGTGGAAGCAAAAAGAATCGTAAAACTCTTTCTCGTGGAGCTTTTTCATTGGTCGAGTGTAGCTACGTGAAACGGTATATATGTATATAGCTGGCTTTAGGCCTGAGTCGACAGTACGACGGTGACAAGTTCTAAATAGACTCAGCTTGGGAGAGAAGGCGTATTTTCACGGATAAATGGCACCTCTATTTTCCTTATTTTTACTTTACCCCTATAATAAAGCAAAACGTACCACACGGATGAACAGTCAACTTATATCCTTTCCTCTTTCACCTTACTCCTATATAGCAGATGAAAATGTACCTTCGTGGATAAATGTCACCTCTGTCCCCCATTTTCACTTTATTTTTATCGTAGATAAAACGTACCTTCGTGAATAAATATCATTTCAATCCTTCCCATTTTCACTTCGTTCCTACGGTAGAAGAAAACCTGCGTAAATAAACCCCTATTTTTCGTATTTTTACTTCACTTTTATAATACCAAGGCACGTATAGACTTCCTAATTTGTACCTTACTCTTACGGATAGAGCAGAATGTACTCTTTCGAATAAATGTCTCCTCTATCTTCCTCGTTTTATATTGTTTCTGTCGTAAAGGAGAATGCACCTTCGTGGATAAATGCTATCTCTTTTTTATTTGTATTTTGCCACTTCTGTCGTATGACTATAACGAAGGAAAATTTACCTTTACATGTAACTGTTCTATTTTTCTCACTTTTACTTTATTTTTATCGCAGAGAACGACGTACCATCGCAAATACTATTTTTGACCGAATTCCAGCGCAATTATATTTCTATGGTATTAAATATATGTATTGATTAAGGCATGTAAGTTAACTGCAATCGTAAACTTGTCTCATCGATTTCCAGCAGCAGAGTTTCGCGCGAAACAATCGGTAATCAAGCTTGAAACGCGGCAACACAAAAAGGTGGAGAAATTCGGAGCAGCTACATAGAGACGAGAACGTAGAAGCGTTCGAAGGTTATTTATTGCGCGCGTCGTTTGTTCTCCCTTTAATCTGCAGGAGATAAATACCGGCTAGCTGAAGCAACGAACTTTTGGCCGGCTGCAAACAGGAAGGAAAAGAGCAGTGCTGCGGAGAAATACAGTATCCGAAAAAAGGATTCATACACAGCTATATGCTACGCTGAAAAAAGGATTCGTACACCGAATATACAGGGTGGGTGGAAAATCATGATACAACCTGCCAGGAGATAATTCTATTCTTAACAATAAGGAAACAATTTGGTATTTAAGTTTTTCATCCAAGGCTTTGTTCTCAAAATGATCAAATTTAAAGTTTATTAGAAATATCCTCCACTTTAATTTCAATTATATTTTGAGTAACGACAGCGCTGACAGTAGCAGACCGAATTGTATTATAGTATTCGTTTAGGAAAATTCGCCCGAAGCGATCGTATTACCAACCGTTAATTTGATGTTAAATTTGTAATGATAATTAGATAATTTGGTGGTCATCTGATTTACAAATTACGGTTTGCATATGCATTAAGGAACACGAACGAGGTTAATATACACCTCAAATATTTCTATACATAAAAAGGAACGTACATAGAGATAAATTTATATAAAATTTTTCTTTATCCAGTGTGAAATATTTAATAGGTTTTATTTTAATTCAACGAGTAACGGATTGATTATCTTCTGTTCGTTATTCAAAATTTCTATTTAACAGGACAATCATCGATAGCGTGGTATTAGTCAAATCAAAAATGGGTATTTTTTGGCGTTTAATTTTCTGGATCGCGATTTCAATTCCGTATTATTTAGAGTTAATATTTATCTCGATTTGTCTTCGATCGCGAAAAACACGGAAATACCAATTTCCACCAATTGCATCGGACAATGGAAAATAAATATTTCACGCGAGCGAGCTACACAGGATTACAGTCACGGGAAATCGCGAATGCGGGCGAAAAAAATAGACCGCTAATTTTCCGATAAACAATTTGTTTGCCAATTTGTTCGACGCCCGAGCGTTCCCTCGGCGTTGGTACCAGCGATTCTGCACTAAATTGTCGCATTGTATTAAACGTCATTACACATCGACCTCAATTAATTATCGGGTCGCGTGAGTTACGCCGGTGGTGTTAATTTCGTCTGAAAGGACGCTATTCAGGAAAAATGTCTGCGCTACGGAGAGAGAGAGAGAGAAAAAAAATGTTCTGTAATTTAGCAACGTTCGTTAGTGAGCGCTCTTTTGTGTAAACGCGCGCTGAATGAAATAATTATAAAATTCTGATAAACGGGTTTCGTTTGACAAACGCGGTATCGTTAGAGAATATGTTAAAATCATTGTACATACGAACGTATATAAATACGGAAATATATTCTTTATGTTAGAACTTTATAATTAAATTTGGAAACGTTCGAAAATTCAGAAGAAAAGATAATAATTTACAACATTAAAAAAAGAAGGAATTAAATATGTAAAATATTATTAAAATATGTTAATTTTATAGAAATGATTATATAAATATTTTTAACGGAAACAGAAAATTTAAATTTTAAATAAGAATACCTTTTTGATGATTTTATAAAATTCTGGTAAAATGTTATTATGGATCGGAGCAGTGAAGGCGATATCATATAATGTTCTCATATCGGACACTGGTACTATTACCGTACCGTTTAAATTACGCAAATAATAATTATATTAATATTAACGATATTACATCATATTATATTAACACTATTTAGCAGAATAATTAACTATTTCCTAGCGTAAAGATTCAAAGAAAGCCGGATATTCTCACTTTCATGCTTTTCACACAGAACACTTTGAGATTCTTTTTGCTGGAATTATTCTTGCTTCTCGTATAATTACGTTTCATTAAATTTCAATTATATTTTCTCTGAGTATCAATCTTCATGTACATACAATTCTTCCTCCTCTGCTAATTAACGCTTCATGAAATTATAACAGCGTATAATTAGAATCAAGTGCTAGGGGCTGAATGAAAAATAATGCTTCGGAGTTTATATCTTTTACAGGAATTAAGGTACTTTAATGAAGGAAAAAAGAATACAATGCTTGAAACTGTTTTGTTTGTTATTTACGTTTCTACGCAATTCCTTTCTTTCGCCACACACATTTCCAAAGTGGACAAATTTTTGATGGGGTCAAGCTTGGAATATGTAAACAATAGGATCACGTATTGCAATAAAATTTGATTCTTGTTTTTCGAACACCTTTTGTATCTCAAGAAATCGTAATCATGATTTTTCCAAAGTGGACAAAATTTTGATGGGGTCAAGCTTGGAATATGTAAACAATAAAACCACATGGTCCCTTGAATACCTTTTGTATCTCAAGAAATCGTAATCATGATTTTTCCTGCAGAAGACTGCATTTTGAATTTCTTCTTTGCAGGCAAGCCTTTATGGTGATACTTCATCTTTCCCAAAAAGTAAAACCGGTTTGAAACTAATAAAACTTGGAAAAGATTATGAGGAACTGGCTGAAGGCACAAGATGACCAATTCTTTCGTGACAATTTTCGAAAATCGTTCATTATTTGGAGAGATGTTAGTAAGTATGGCAAACAAAATTGTATGTATCATTTTTATTTTTCATTTGTCAAAGTATCTTGCTTTTTGCAGAAATTCTAAAATCGGAATCATTTCTTTCCACTCAACCCCTCATATATTCTATTGTATGTATGCCAGTGTTGAAATATTCATGAATTAATTTTCTCATTTATTTAATTAAAATAACTTTAAGAAGTACTTATTTCTGGAATAAAATTAAACTCTTCATCAGTCTCTACAAGCATATTTAAATTATATACATATTTTCAGAGCTTTAGATTGGTTCTTTTGAATGAGATGTAAAAACAATACGACCCAAATGGAATGAAGCAGTCTTTTCATATTCGTTCACGAAAATACCTAGATTTTTGTACAAATTACAAAATGAAAAGCGTTACTTTCCATTCAACCCCTCGTATATTTCACGCGCCAGTGTTAAAATATTCATGAATTAATTCTCTCATTTATTTCCAATCAACCAAATAATTATATTTCATTAAAATGACTTTACGAACAGTTTATTTGTTGAACAAAATTAAATTCTTTATTATCCCTTGCGATCATACTGTAATTATATATTTATTTTCGCTGCTTTCGACTTGCTCTCTCCTCTTTGCTTCGACGTGAAAATAATATAATCTGAAATTATTTTTTTTCACCCGATAATCAATTCTCGGAGTTCACAAAATTCTCACTTCCTGAATCGCCCAAACTGCTAATTGACCCCGCAGGAAGCGAAGGCGGTATAAAAATAGTACCTTTTCTGAATCGGTGTCCGAATATATGCGACCTGGTCGATATTCTGGCGGCAGATAGGCCCGAGCGGTTTCGGGTGGTGCGAGTTGCAACAAAACCCTACCACGTGGCGTCAACTCCAACGTGTGAAGAGTCACCACCGGGCCAGCTCTCGATCCACCCACTACACCACCGTCTGAAACAGATTTCAAGAAAACGTTACTACATAAAACATCGTTCGAAATACTTGGCACCAACTTCCTGTTACTGTCAAAAATTAAAGAAAGAATTATCTTTCACTTCGTACACGTATCATCGATAGCAACGTGAAACGTTAAAACAATTTCGTTGTACCTTTTTTAAAATTTTAAATAAAAATAAACTCACAATACAAAAATCCATTTAAAATAAATGCTTACAACCATCGCATTTAATTTTAAATTTTTTATTTCTATTCCTTGGTAATTTTTTTTCATACACAATTTTGTAAAATGTTACAGTGCATAGCAGTATAGTTAATTGTTACGATATCGTTAACGTGTATTATCGTGATCCAAATGAATTTCCCCGAATTAACGATTTTTCCGACCATTTCGACCGTCGTTTCCGACACGGCGATCGCAATTTCCTCGTCAGCTGTTGCACACAGAATCCACGCATTCGGCGATGTTTGTAACTGTTCGACGCACTATAGTCGCGATACTGATGCTCGTATGCGGGTTTCGCGCTGATAATTCACGCGCAAAAAGTGCCAATTTTAATCGTTTAATTACTCGTGTCTTAACGACTCTGATCATTATCTCTAAGAGTGTATCTGAGTGTCTTGTACGTCTCTTTGAGTCTCTTAAATATTCAGGGGCTTTAAGTGTATCATATATCTTAATTCGAAAAGTGAGATATGTACAACACATTTGTTCCTAGGGCATTTTTTAGTTATTCTAACGAATAGATTTAGTTTCTTAACTAATTAACTGTGGCGATCTCTTTGCAAAGCGCGCACCAGTGTGTGTCGCGATAATCAAGCGATGACGGGTATAGTCGTCAAACACAGAGTATGTGGAATATGAAATTAGGTTGTAATAAAATGACTTTTATTTTTTTTATTTCATTACTCACATTTATTTATTTACTTAAATTAACATAAATATTTTGCATATAAACGAAAAAAAAACATGAAGAATCAATTTCTTACTTTAACTTGCTGTTAGCATGGTACAATGCATAATGAATATATGAATCCGTAATTGCTTCTGTGATGACTAATAAAAGACAACGATACATTTACGAAAACTAATTCGTAGTATATGCGGTTTTTTTTATATTAATTATTTATAATTCTTATTTGTTTGTTTCATTTCGTCTTGACCACTAAACATTTTAAACATATTAAAATTTACGAATATAATTTAGTTTTCGCCGAAATTACAATTTAAATATCAAATTGTAACAAAATTTTACGCATGATGGATATAGTCGTCAAACACACTTAACTGGTTAAGTATTTATGGAACTCACTGTATGTAGAACGAAGCTAGAAACAGATTTTTCTACAACCTCGTGACGTACTTGCCAGATTTTAAGAGCGTCGTATTCTACTGACACTCAGGATTATGTTCTTGCCGTGTCTTTGACGCGTTCCTACGTGCAATAACAGCGTATTTTATTATTATCAGGTACCTTGACTAGCAGAAGGTTCTTCCAGAGGCCTTAACGATAACGATTGCCTGGAAAAATTCAAGCTCGAAGCAGCAGGTGCGCGAGTCTCGTCTCTGCCAAGGGGTCGAAGGGGGATTTCCTTGCAAATTACCAAGTTTATTTATCGTGACCACGGGGACCACCGACATCCTAAATCATTTATTATCGTTTGTAGCGCGCGAACCACTTAACCGTAACCTTCTCGAGCATCGATTCGTCGGGCAAGAGAAAAAAAAAAGAAGTCGATAGAATCGAATCAGCCGCTCTAGGAAAGTGGATCGAAGTTAAGGAAGACGCGATGAAAAATTGAGGAAGCGCCAAGATACTCTTCGGCTGCCTTCGTTCCAGTAATTTTATTCCCCATCGCCGGTACCATAATCTTGTTCCTTCGATTTGCTGCCTCTATTTCCGTCGTTTCGGATCCAATCTAACCGCGTCACGCCTATCTAACTGACTCCGTCGCGAAAGTACCGTGAAAACGTTTAGTGTCCTGTCCGATTTACGATCCGTGATGTCCAGTCGTTCGCTTATAAATTTTCTTGCCTCGTGTTTCGTTAGACTCTCTTCCCCCTGCGTGAACGATAGAGTTTTCCACAATTTTCTTAAATCGTACTTTCGTACTTTACGTATGGGCTGGAAGGTGTTTGAATTTTTGTACGATTTCACTCTGTGTCTATAATTTCAGCGATACGTATTGATCACCATTTATTCAGTATTCCTCATTCGTCAGTAAATAATATAGTGGATAGATACCGTTGAATTAGTAGGATCATACCAACTCGATTTCTCGTATATTTAATTGCATAGTGACATAAATTTCACAAGTTTCGCGGCACGTGTTGCACTCGATTCCATCCGAAATTCGGCCATCCCGATCGTAGATTTTACAAACAAGTAGACGATAAATTATTCACCCTTCTAAAACGCGTTGGACTTGATTATGCAAACTCGAGCGTCCAGCTTCAACGAAAGTGCATTAGTGCAACGTACACCAGAGACAGACAGAATTTTATTCGACTAATTGATATTCAAAAAGGTATAGCAGCTTAAAATATTTCGAATTCTTTTGCAAAGACTAACCATTACCATTTGGCTTAAAACTTCAATTAATCAACTCTCTCGTAGCTTTAGGTTTCCAATAAGCATTGATAAAAGCTTGTAAAATCATTTTCACCTACCTCAAAGAATCTAAATTACAAATTTAAGAACATCGTTGTATGGTTTCAAATGCTCAATAAAAAAATAAAAAATTTATACCTAGCGTCTGATAAATCGAACAGATTAATTTTCGGATTTTATTTAACGTGTAATGGAGAAACAGTAGTTCGAAATTCTTTTACGGATACAAATTTCGCCAGTCTCCGGAGGATTGTCGTCCATTTCCCGAGATCTTGCCTTGGATTCTCGCATCAGTCGACGAACGGGGTGGCAAGAAGTGCCATCTGTCCTTTACCGTAGCTGTAAATTCAGTATAATTCGCCATTCAGGCGTTAATTTCGCAGCGTGTCACGGACATTAACAGGCTAACGATCTCTAAAGCGTTTTGACACAGGGAATGTTCTCCCTTCTGCTACGACCTACTAATTCGAGGTATTTCGCCCTGACCGAAGAATACTTTTGCACTAGGGGGAATTCCAAGGAAATTGAACCTCGCCAAGGGATGGAATAGCTCCGTGGAACGAGGTTCCTGTTTACAACTAAAAGTTCTCCGAATCCGCGACACTTACGGAAACGTTCGTTCGTAGGAAAAAGTTCGTAACCGTGTGAAATCGCGCGATCGAGAACAACGTTGATTCGATTTCCATTGTTTTAAATTTCTTTTCCCCCGTCGGTGATTCGACTTCGTAATTGGATCCGTTGTTGACAACTTCGGCGAAGTTTCGACTCTTTTTTGTACGATAAGAAACCGTTGGATGAAAGTCGTGTTGGATTATGTTTCTTTTCGTAAGAGTTCATCTGCACGCAGTTGAGTTCTACATATATTTCACTGTTCTAGATTTACTATCGTGTCTTTGGCAGTTGTGTGCCCACTATATTCGCGAGTAAAAAGAAGCACGTTCGTATTGATTAGTAATTTATACAAGCGGAGCATTCGGAGAACAAAATGCTAATGAAACGATCATAATTCATTTGATTTATCGTATGGAGCCCGGAAAATCAATTTCAGGCTTCGCTGGTATATTTGCCTGGAAAGCTAATAAATATAACCGTAGCTTCGATAACAAGTTATAAAATATTTGTAAATTGCACTTTACAAATTATAATTTTTATCGAAGGCTCTATTAAAATATTTTATGTTTATTTAAAGGTGTCTAAAGATTAATAAAATAATGAAGAATGGCAGTTGGATTTTTTTAAAGCCACTTTTGCTTACGTTAATTTCTGCATAGGTTCTGGAGCGAAGAAGGGTCGAAAAAATGAAATGAAATGATTTTATAATGACTAATTATTTATGATTTTGAATACTTTGCTTATCTTTCTCGCTTCCATCATCAAATTGTTGCACACACGAAGTAATCATCGCGTCAACGCATACTAAATTAATCTTACGTGACTAATGAGCGCAGATTATTCGTGTGCTGAGATATTAACTGACAGTGCTTAGGCGCTAGATAGCGTAATTGCTGTCCGCCCGCCTTGTTACGAGATCTATTTCAGTTTAACTAAAATGATTTCAAAAGGATACTTAATCAAAGTTAATGGTTGCTATTCTTTAAAAATATTAAATTTTACTCGTTCATCCGGTAATGTTTAATTCTTTTAATTATTATACCACTACCAATACCAAGTAACGATTATAGAATTACTGTAAATCAGTGTTTTAAAATATGTATAACATGAAAAATTAAATATAGAATCAAAAATAAATTTTACAGGATAAGCAATGAAAATATTTTTAAAAAAAGGTGCACCAATCATGAAATTTAACTGTCACTTCTGATGGAAATCTAATACAAATAAAAAATATGTGATAAAAGAGTTCTTAACCTACGAAGTTTGTTTGTGGAATAAAAAGCAAAAGTGATAATTTTTTATTCATGCCACGGTCGACGCCAACGAGCGATAAGATCCCCCGATTTCGGATATGATACGAAAATTAAAGTGCGGTAAAAAAGTTAAAGAAAAATACGGGGACTGTCGATAGGCTTATGAGATTTCTGTCTCTCTCGCTCCCACGCCTTCACTGACCTACCCGAAGCTTGTCACCTATGTAAAAGCAGTTATAAAAGTGGGTCACGGTTTCTCCAGAATTTCGGTCGTCATTCAGCATGCATATTAAATGCTACACTTTGAAGGCTTATATCTGTGGAACCGATTGAGGTATCAGCTTGAAAGAAAATGTCTTTTCAATATCACATTTTGTATTACTTTTTCGACAGACCGGGTCAATAGTCTCGCAATTCTTCCAGTTGTTAATGGTCTTTGGTCTGAAGTATAAATGCTAAATAAAATTGATTCATTTACACCAAGTTTCCTATTAGCAATAAGTAGTTTCCTTAC